GACCGGTGGGCGCGCCCCGAAGGGCAATGTTCGGCGCCCCAGCGCTCGTGTTCGACGGAGTTTCCTCCCCGGTACTGACAAGCGCCGGTGGCGCCAGGCCTCGAGGCCAGCATGGTGCCGCAGCCGGCGCAGAGGACTTCATGTTGTGTGATTACACACACTGTCATATTGGTCAGCATTGGTGGGCGCGGCATGTTACCAAATCGCAGAGCAACGAGAGTCAAGCAGAAGAAGGATCTCAGCACCCAGAAGCCAGCAGAGTGTCGCTCCAGTCAGCAGGAAAATTCGAACCCGACCCAGGGGCCTAATTGATGCCATTGATGACTGTCATACAGGCGGCGAGAGTGCAAACGGGGCTTTGCAAGCCTGTTTAGCTGTGCCAGGCTGGGTTGGTGTCTCTCCGCTTCGCTATCTGTCGATCGGGACCATCTCAGTACGCGTTGGCATCCAGATGGACCATTCAACGGAGGGTTTCCAGTGTCCTGGACTTCGGCGGTAGCACTTTTTCGACCTATCTCCAGGTGCTCGAAATGTCATTCGGGCCATATGTGGACAGAGGTTGGAGGTTCCTTGCCTCTGCACAATTGCCACCGCAGAGAAGGCAGCAAGGTAAGACTTTGCTTCGAGTGGTTGACTGGAATGCAGACTGCACCACCTGGAGCTCCGGTGCCGACCTTGGTGCTCGCAATTTCAGAGAAGGCAGTGAGGTCGACGAATGACTCCACCGCGAGGGATCAACAGCTTGACAGAGGTCATCGCACGCGATGGCGCAGGCGGCGCAGTCAAGTCGAAAACCTTTTGAGTCCGTCAAGGTCCAGCTCCGGGGAGGTCGCAGTTCTTGCTAGCGCCTCCAGGTCCAGGTCATGTTCGTTGTCACGGCCTCGCGACATCTGCTGGCTTGATCCTCCTCTTTCTCCTGAGCAATGCGAATAACTGAAATTACTTACTCGTTCGGCGGCGGTGGAGGTGGTGGTGGTGGGTTACTGCTGACAAGTGCAAATTAGTTCTCTGATTGACTGTCATGAGCTCTCATTGTTCGATCTACCACTGAAGCGGCACTAAAGTCGCTAAGCAAGCAGAAACAGTGGTTTGAACAGTGCTCACGTCGGCTGGGCCTCCGCGAGACTGTCGCCGCTCTGAAAAATCGAGTTTGGAGCTCGCGGATGGGGATGGACTTACAAAAGCGTCGTGTGCGTAAAGCGTGCTGAGAAGCACGTTAGCAGGTATGTCGTTGTTGCGATAGGGTTGTCACTTACAGCTCTTGTGTGCGTGTCGTTGTCGAAGTCAGGGGAGCAAGCAAAGTGCGGCCGAAGTAAACAGCTTGATGCCAAGCCTGCACCTACTAAGGGACGTGATGGTCACAAACGTCGACACGTACAGCTTCACTTTTGAACGTTCAGGACCGATTGCACTGCTAGCAGGTGCTCTGCAGACTTGTTCATGGACGGCGGCATCTTGCGCGGAATGAGTACGATGAGAAACAGAGACTGGGCCATTGGAGACCCCATTGGCATCGCAGTAAACGCTCTTCGTGTGGTTCTCACAGCGAGGATCCTCGTCTAATTGAGGGCAAACATTCGATTCGATCGAGCTATCTATTGTGAACGGGGCTGCTGCGTGGCATTGACAGCTCGAAATTTGACCGAAATTCGATCGCATCGACCTCTTCAATTGACAACCCGTGATTTGGCAACGAGCTCCACTTACTTCCAAATCGCTGAAGTCTCCCATAATGATCGCACATAGACGACTTAATCTTCATCACCAAACTCAGGCACTCTTGGCAGTCCTCGGGCCGACCAATGTGGGTCTGCCGACGCGCGAAACACGCGGTGAAGACTGCATCTCGAATCCTACGAACGCTTCCTTCGTGCAACTTACTTTTCATACCACATCAGGCAACAGCGTGGCCCCACAACTTCCATCATGATACACTAGAGAATCTGAATACTGGACATGCTCGACGCAGACAGTGACCGCCATGTCTCAGCAAGTTCTGGCCAATGTGGCGACATCTCAGGCAAGGGCCTTCGGGCATTACAATAATGGCATCTGCTTCAAGAATGTCTGGAGCGTGGAAGATGCGAGATTTGAGCAATGTTTCATACCGGTTGTAGCGGCCGTGCCTGTTATTGTCGCGGCCGTGATACTGCTTGGACAGATTCTGAAGCTGGTCTTCACGTCCTACGGTTTCCAGCGACCAAGATGGCTGAGTCCATTTGTCGAAGAAAGTGCTGCGCCGGAGATAGAGACAGAATTCGTAAAGGGACGGCAATGGACTTGGGCCTCAACTACGCTTTTGAGCCTGAGTGTCGCTGGCCTGGCCGTCCATCTAGCGGATGCAGTGGCGGTGCTGCTGCGTAGCGGATCACGATTCGACAACAGCAACGCTCCGCTTGCTGCACTTCAAGCTCTGCCATGGGTGATCGCAGTTCTTCAAATCTGTGTGTTCCGGCCTCGAGCAGTACCTTTCGCGGTCTTCACGATACTGACAACCAACCTCATCTCGGAATCGATCTTGCTTGAGAACGCCCTGAGAACAAACGATCGCGCACCATTCCTGGCCTCTGGAGTCGCAGTTAACGCCCTCGCATTCGTGGTCCTCGTACTTATGCCATTCCGAGATCCGCTTCTTCCATCGAAGGACATCAGCCAGCCATTTACATCGCCGACGTCAACTCTGCGCAGCGCGGAAGAGAAGCTCAACATCTGGCTATTCGCGACGGTGAGATGGCTAGCACCCATGCTAGATGTCGGCGGCAAACGCCAAATGGAACAAGAAGATGTGTGGAGTCTGCCTTACGAGTTTCAGCACGCCCGTCTGCACGAGAGCTTCAGGCTTCTGCAAGGCACGGTCATCCGCCGCCTACTGACTGCGAACGGCATAGACCTCATTATTGTTTCTGTCCTTGGCTTTGTCGATCAGTCTCTGGACTATGCGAACCCGTTCTTCCTGCAATTGATCCTGAGCTCAATGCAACATCCAGAACGTCCGAAGCGAGTGGCGTTGACATACGCCGGCTTATCCTTGGTGGCTAGATTGCTTTCTGCGCAATTCGATGTTTTGCGTTTGTGGTACGGCCGGAGATGCTACGAAAGGTCGCGTGGCGAAATGATCACTATGCTATATGAGAAGACGCTGGGAAGAAAGATGGCATTCAAACCGGAGGAGAAGAAGGAATCGCTGCAAAATGGCACAAGGAACGGGCATGCAAATGATGAGATAACGCCAAAGCCCAGAGGAAGGTGGTGGGACAATCTCATGAAGCCGCTTCGCAGTCTGCTTCAGAAGAAGAAGGCGCCGCCGCCAGTGAAGGAGCCTGCATCAATGGGCAGGATCCTTAATCTCATGCGCAATGATGTCTACGAAGTGGCTCAACGATTCTGGGAATTCGACATGCTTCTTCGAAAGCCCGTGGCGATCATTCTTTCTGTCACCCTTGTGGTCAATTATTTGGGCTGGGCATCAATGATGGCCGTTGGTCTGGTAATTCTGGCACAAGTCATGAACGCCCTCCTTGCTCGTATCTTGGTGCATTATGAAAAGAAACGCCGTTTTGCGACAGACGCGAAACTGCAGATTGTGTCTCAATTCGTCGAGGCCATCAGGCACTTGCGATGGTACGGATGGCAAGACACTTGGCTTGACCAGGCTTTGACTGCACGACATAAGGAGCTCATGTTGCGCGTCACTGCCAATGCTTGGAATGTGCTCATCAGCTTTGTGAACACCCTGTCATACGATCTGGTACCCGTTGTCGCCTTCTTCACGTATACGGTCATTGCGGGCAAGCCTCTGACAGTGGATATCGCGTTTCCCTCCATCCAGCTCTTCAGCATGATGACCAGCCAGCTGCGCGATCTTCCTGGCCTGATCGTTGCACTTATCAATGCCTGGGTTGCAGTGCAGCGTATTGAGGATTTCATGGCAGAGCCAGACTTGCAGGAGATGGCAACAGAAGCACTAATTGGAGATCAGCTGGCGTTGGATCATGCGTCCTTTGCGTGGCCGGGTGCTACTGAAGCAGTGCTCAAAGCGATCAACATTTCATTTCCCGAAGGCATGACAGTCGTCTTTGGAGAGGTAGCTTCTGGCAAGACAGCTCTTCTACAAGCACTCCTAGGCGAGCTAGACCTGCACGAAGGTCAGCTTATCCGTCCACCAGAGCCCATCGGATACTGCGCTCAGACTCCGTGGCTACAAAGCATGAGTATACGAGATAACATTCTTTTCTCCGCACCATATGAAGATGACCGGTACCGAGCTGTGCTTGACGCTTGTGCTCTGACTCCTGACCTCGCAGAGTTCAAGGCTGGAGATTTGTCGGTGATTGGAGAAAACGGTATAGGTCTGTCTGGAGGGCAAAGGGCTAGAGTCGCACTTGCCAGAGCGATCTACAGCAAAACCAAGATCTTGCTGCTGGACGATCCACTCGCAGCACTGGATCAGCAGACGGCGGAATCGATCGTACGGCAGTGCTTCAATGGACCGCTGGTTAAGGGACGCACAATCGTGCTTGTCACACACCGCACAGATCTCGTTCTCGGCATTGCAGATCAGCTCCTGAAAATTGAGCATGGAAAAGCATCAGTAATGGATCACGATGCAGCCGAGTTCACACAGCCTGCCACGTACGAGGAGCAAGGCGATTTGACAGAGGAACAAGAGCGAGCGAGAAAGGCCACCGAAGCCGCCATCCCTGAAAAGTTCATCGAAGATGAGCATCGGGAGCATGGCGGCGTCAAAGCTTCTGTCTATTGGGAGTACATCAAGGCTGGGAATCTCTGGCTGTGGGCACTAACTATCTGCATTCTCGCCACCTATCGCTGCTTTGCACTGCTAGAAACATGGTTCATAAAGTCATGGGCTGAAGCATACGGCACTCAAGCTAAGGCGGAAATGTTCGTGTACAGGGCAGACGTCGGATACCATACTTCTGGTGTTTTCGACGGCCTGCCGCCTCCGGAGACCAACATCAAGCCCTGGCTGATTGGCTTTGCACTACTTGCAATTGGTCAGTCACTATCGTACGTTGCTTCTCAAGCGTCGCTCATGGTGATCGTTTACGTTGCGGCCAAGAACATGTTCCGCGATGTCATGCAGAAGGTCGCTTATGCTACTTTCCGCTTTTACGACACAACGCCAGTCGGGCGACTGATGAACCGAATGACTTCTGATATCGGTGTGATCGATGGCGGGATCAGTGTGCAGTTCTCTGCCATCTCCTGGATGCTCATCAGCTGGATCTCTTCCGTGGTGGTCATCGCATCGATAACGCCGGCCTTCCTCGTCTTCACTTTGATCTTGGCAGTCCTCTTCGTGCTCATCTACCGGCGCTTCATCCCCACCTCGCAAAATCTGCGTCGCCTCGAGATGGTGTCGTTGACCCCGCTCATGTCGAACTTCGGAGAGCTTCTGAACGGCCTGGCCACTGTTCGCGCGTTTGCTGCACAGACACGATTCCAAAATCGCGTCATTCTGGTTGTCGACACATTCCAGAAGATGGACCATTTCTACTGGTCTACGCAAGCCTGGCTCATGTACAGATACGACATATTGACTTCCTTAGCAACATTCATGCTCTTTGTTCTTGCGCTCGCAACGGATCTGTCCCCGGGCCTTACTGCATTTGCTCTATTGTCTGCGCAGCGGTTCGTCATGACTACGAACGGGCTCTGCCGACAATACGGCCAACTTCAGATGGAATTCGTGTCTGTCGAGCGAGTCGTCGAGCTGCTGCACCTGGAGCAGGAACCGAAGGGTTCTATCAGCCCGCCAGCCTGGTGGCCATCGTTCAAAGGCGATATCGTCTTCAAGGACGTGCTCATCAAATATGCGCCGCATCTGGACCCAGCTTTGGCAAGCATATCATTTACCGTCAAAGGAGGGTCTAAAACTGCAATCATTGGACGCACAGGATCGGGCAAGAGTACTCTGGCGCTTTCTCTGCTTGCTACCATCCTACCCGAAGTTGGTCGAATTTCCATCGATGAGATCGACCTTGCTGAAGTCGATAAGCAGCTACTTCGTACGCGGATCACGTTCCTGGCGCAGGATCCTGTTCTATTCCCTGGGACGATGCGTATGAACCTCGACCCTGTCAACCAGCATACCGACGAAGAATGCGGACTCGTCCTGGATCGCGTCTGCGCCAAGCAAGGTTGGAACCTCGACACGAATATCGAAGCTGGCGGCAAGAACCTCAGCCAAGGTCAGCGTCAACTGGTCGGTTTGGCCAGGGCTGTGCTTCGACGTAGCGCTATCATCATTCTCGATGAGGCTACTGCATCGATCGACCGCGACACTGCGATGCAGATTCAACAGGTCATGCATGAAGAGATGAAGGAGTCTACTGTGATTACAATTGCCCATCGCTTGGAGGCTGTGAGGAACGCGGACTATTGCATTGTGCTTGGGAAGGGCAAGATCTTGGAGCAGGGTCCGGCGGAGGAAATGTTGAGGGAGCATAAGAATGATATGATCGACGAGATAGACGAAAACCGTAATGAATAGATCCCCTAGCAGATAGAGGAACGCATGCGTTGTATTCTCAGACAATTCTGAAACACTCTGCTGCTGCAACGAACGAGACATACCGAATTGTTCAACGACAGTCGCAAGGTTTTGAATACGCGGTACAGGAATAGCTGAGCTGACTGAGTTTTGGGATGTGCAGTAAAGCTAAAGTGACGAACTGCAGCGCTAGCCGAAGATCCGTTCTGACTGGACCTGTCAAGCTTCACATGACCCCGTTCGCAGCATCGTCGCAGCACCCTTCGGAAAACGTACGAACATGCTCGAACTACCCATCTTCACATCTTCGTGCCCCTGCAGAAGTCAACCGCGACCGCCGACCACGAATGCGATCGATCGAAGGAATGCAGGAGGAGTTTGGAACAATGGATGGATGGTTTGGGCTCATAGACTGCATGACATTCGAAGGCAACGCCACTGGCGGAAACATGGGCTACTCGCGCGCCAGCAGTTGTCCAGCGGTGGAAGCGTTCACGGGGATGGAAAGCTTGTAGAAGATGCCGGAGCAGAGCAGATACTCATTGTTGCCTACGTGGAGACCGTCGGCGTAAAGGCATAGAGGCACTGGCGCTGTCCACGAAAGATGGGGATCGAGTCCGGCGCAGCACATACAAGGCGAAGGACTGCTTGATGTGACGCTCTGCTTCCATCAGGTGTTTGCTTGAAGTGGGACGATGGCCGTAGCGACCGAGACGCTATCCACTCTTGCCTTCACTGGCTCGCCTGCATTTGAATCATACAAAGAGTTGATACCAACGGGCACCTTGATGTGCGCAGCTGAAGCAGAAGCAGAAGGTCGAATGTAACTTCAGATCGCCCTTCTTTACCCCCAATCAACCACAACTTAAGTACATGAGTCGGGTGTGATTTCGATATGGGCTTGCTCCTGGCATGACTTCGAAATGCTCGAAATGCCACCGTTCAAAGGCTGAGTACAAGAGAAAGAGCGCGCGCGATAGCGTATTCAGACAGCACTCCATTCAATGCATATATCTGATGGCTAGAAAAGCAGCTAGAATGAGCAATGCTGCAGGACTTGCGTCAACAGCGTTTGTCGAAGTGCAGCGCTGCAGGGACCGAATTCCGAGCACTTCTTTTGCGCTGCATCCCAATTGCCCGTCCGCCTCGAGCACTGACTTGACGGGTAGCAGAATTCGATTGAGTGACAGGACACCACCACCACACTTTCACCACGCACTCGACCCGTCTTCACTCGCGCGTCTGCCTTCCTTCACTACCATCGAATCGCCTGACACCACAAATGGCTCTCACCAACGGAAACGGAGTGTGGCCTGCGCCATTGCTCGACGATACACATCACGCACAAGTCCAGAACGTCGACATCCACACTGGCACCATCGCATTCGACAACGGCGTGCGATTCCAATTCCGCAACCCAGAGTTGCTGAGAATGGCCGTCACTGTCAAGTACACTCTGCCCGATGTGGCACCAGGCGAGCCAATGCCTATAAGCAACATCTGCATCGCGCGAACAGGTGACGGGGTTTTGTCTGCCATATTGAGGAAAGGATGGGCAAGGCAAGGTTTCCCTCACGGTATGTAAATTCAGCGCCCGGCGCGCTTCACCTCATCACATCAACTAACAAAGTGGAAGACGAGTACAAGATCTGGTACGAATTTGGAATGAACATGAACTCGTACCAGACATACCAATGCGACGCCATCGAATTGACCCCTTTCCTGCAAGTCCCTGGCGTGCGTCCAGGAAGCATGGCCGCAATGGAATTCTGGGCATCATGGGACGGCAGAAAAGCTAAGGCCACCTCGATTGAGGCCATTATTGCAGCAGTCGAACTCGACTTGGAGAGTGAAGCAGTGACGAAGGTGGTGATGAGACACATGGGCTTCTATTGGCCAGAGAATTTCCACCAGGCCAACACTATGCAAGCTGCCATGGGTACGCTGCGCGGCCTCGGCATCATTGGGAAGCGGGAAGAGTGAATGAGATACTTTTGCATCGACTCTCTGAGTGTTGCGCATTCTACCTGCCACTCTTTGTTCGTGTCTGAATGAAACAGCTCTGCTGTCACTTTCTGAGCTTCATATATTTTGCCGGTCTTATCGGCTTGCTAAATGAGTAAGTGAATAAGGGCTTTACTTCCACTCTCCAGGCTGAACACAATTTGCCTGCCACTCTTCGCCCACACCTTCTGAATCCAGAGCAGAAAAGTTCTGCGGGATCCTCGCGCTACAGGCTAGTGATACGAGTGAACCACAACATTTGTGTGTATTCTCCGAGCCGGAAATATGCTGCTTGCCACTATTGGTCAAGGTCTGAATGAATTGCCCTTTCTGCTACGCTTTGAGGTTTCCATATTAACGGTAATTTTGGCTAGCCGCATAAGTGAATCAGAAACCATTGCTTCCGTTGTCAGAGTTCTAAGTACTATTCTAGCCACTCTTGTTGGATGTTTCCCGGACCCGGTGCAAGAGATATTTGCGAGCTTTCTGTGTTAGAGGAATTTCTGGTAAGTCAAGGGGAGCGTCTACTTCCATTCTCTGTCTTTCACACACTTTGCTTGCCACTCTTGGTCAAAGCCTCTCGGATTCGAGACGCAACGGTCCTGTGAGCTTGTTGATGGTTTGGTCTTGGCGAGCGCCATTTCTGTTCGCTGTGTTGATGTATTGTCGTCATTTCCGCATATGGACACCCAGTGGTCTCAACGCGTGCGAAAATGACAAGTATTTGCCACTGTTCGATCTACAGAATCTTGTGAAAATATAGTTGTACGTGTATGTGGCTGCTACGGAGCTGTTGGGACGATGTGTTGTAGAAGCCGTAGTAAGACCAGTCGCCCCCCCGGTACAGTTTCTTACACAGCACAAATATCGATCGTATGGATTCTCCCACCGTCAAATTACTTTTGACCGATCCCTAATCGCTGCGTCTGCCGATCGGGTGGGACGTTCACCTTTGTGACCAGTCCTTTGCATCCAAAAGGCGCTAGTGCGAGTAGGGGCTTGCCAGAAGCTTCAAGTTCGCCAACATTCTTCAACGCTCTTGCCTACCACATTGCAACTCGACTCTCAGTCGCAACGTCGCGACGATGCCTCCGTCATCACCGCCGCCGCCCATCACGAATCTACCCACCGAGGTATGCGATCTCATTATCGACCGACTGCCGCTTCAAAAAGATCGAGTGAACGCATGGGTGGCGTTCAACTTGACCTTTAAAGAGCATCGGGTATCATGTACCGCATTCAACTTCGAGAAAGCCATCCAAGAGTTGAGAAGTACGATCCTTAACAGTGCTCCTCTATCCCGGCTACTCGCAGACACGATGGGGATTGACTTGACGAGACTTGAAACGAAAATACGACCCACTCCTGCAAGCGCCTTCGCCCATCTCAATCGATTTATGTACAACCGGCTACATAAGGAAGTCAACTCGACCGATCCGCAATGGATGGTACAGGGTCAGCCATTCTCGGCACAATTTGTCGCCGACGAGAGAATCGCCGACATTTCGCGCCTTAGGGAATGGCTTCTTTTTGGCACTCCCTTCGCCAACCAAGTCGAGAAACCCAAGGAACGAGTGCGCAGGGAGAATGGATACAAGCTCTTTCTGAGTAAGATCGCCTCAGACTCAAAGTACGGCGGAGATGTTTGTCAGGAATGCCTTGGCCCCGTCCCCAACGACCTGCAGCAAGCTCCAGGTACTCGATTCTGCCGGGCACATCAAGTTGTGTTCTGCGACGAGTATCGTGTGGCTCTTTCAGACTTCACGCGCTACTATATTGGCCTCGGCGGCAAGATGGCACCATCAAACCCTGCTCAGTACTGGATGGGGATGGAAATGATCCACATGTCCACAAAATCCAACAGAATGCAGACCACTATCTCAAGAGAAGACGCAGACACGCTTTGTTTATGTTTGGTGGGCACGACCTGGCATGACTTCCGGATCTATGCGCGAAACCCATCCTGGACCCTCCTGACAGCTCGTCCTTTGGACATAAAATACCAGATCTGTAGCAGCGCCATATATCTGCTACGACTTTGGGCTTCAGACACTCCTGAATTGCGCTGGGTTTGGGATACAAATGAGATTGGTGGATGCGTTCCGCCAGTGGACATCAGTGTGAGGAAGATGTTGGGTGGTACACCGTGCGAAGGAGGTGACTACATTCTGCTGCACAAATTCATGCAACGTTTGTATGATCGTCATATCTCCAACTTCCCGGGCGTCAGGAGTAGAGCACCCAGCGCTGCGGAAGAACGTTCGCTCGTGGATGCAATGGTTGGACATTATCTGAACCGTCAGCTGGAGAAGCACAGCAGAATCTGTAAGTGATTGAGAGTCACCACCAAAAGAGACTTGCTGACTAGATTGATAGCGTTCATGACACTCTTCAGAGGCTTTGACATCAAGGTCTTTAGACCTTACGAGCCTCTTGTGTTCCAGACGCAGACTGGTGCTGTGGCACCGACAACCGTCTTCCAACCACCTATGTCGAACCGAATGGATGCTTTCACCTGCACCTTGAACGAAGCAGAGCGTTTAGGTCTGAACATCCATGGACGTAGACTCCAGCAGATTGCGCAGCTTCCAAGACAGACACGCAACCTCAATCACGGAAGATATGTCACCAAGATCGCCGCCATGGAGTACATTCGCAGCTCGCTCACCATCAATACCTTGGAAATATACATCAATCTGCAAAGCGTGATCAACGGCATGGTTTCGACGACCATGAGCACACCACTTCCAGCGGTGCCCCATGTGGCATACGCTCCTGATGTGCTCGTCGCATCGGCCCTTGGGCGAATTCTTCAGTTTATTGACGGGAAGCTGCGCGCACAGACCTCGTCAACTCTCCTGGCGATGCTGGAAGACATCAGAGACATCAACGAGGTGCCACTCTGGCTGGCTCAAAAGATCATGGGTGATTGCTTCTCAAGCTGCCATGATCTGCTCAGTAATGTCACAGAAAAAGCATTCGAAGAGTGGAAGAAGGACAAAGAGGTCTACATCATTGCTGACCCAACGTCTCGGCCTGGTGGAGCCCTTGGTCCCTTTCAATCGGGGAGCGGACCGTACAACTGCCAGCGCCCGACACACTCCGTCATGTCATGGACAGATCGTCAACTTGAGCTCGCACGCACGAACTTCTTCGCTGGCAATGATGCTCACGTTCCAGTCATCCCGCTGGCGGTATGCAAAGGTCGAAAGGCGTTGAGGTCGCCGACTAAGCAGTCGGAAGGTTTGCTCGCCGCGATCACAAAGCACACCTTCTGGGTAGAGGACGACGCGGCTGCGGTGTTCATCTCAGGCGTGAGCCAGTATCATGGGGGACTGCGGCCAAAGGCCTCGGGTAGGGTGATCTGGTTCGAGCAGAAAGACGCATGGACGTAAGGAGGCAGGGTCGGTTTGGGAAGTTTGCTCAGCACACGCTGCTACAGGACCTAGTGGTGATTCATACTTCAATACCACTGAAGGCGGCGGAGTGTAGAGCTTTTTGCTATGCAGAGGCATGGATACGGGCAGATTGGTTCGAGTAGCGATTGTGTGTCAAAAGTTTTGAAGTTTGTACTGTTTGAGAAAAGAAAACTGCTCGAAGTCAATTTCTTTGCTTCTAAGATCGCTGTGACGTTGGGTCCATGCCTGCAAGACAGTTACTGGCACAGCATCAGGACCATCGGCATGAGTTGCGGGATATCGGGATGTGGAGTTGGAAACTCAAAGTGGGACTTCCTGATGTGGAGATTTTCTTGGGACTTGGGTTCACTGCCAACTTGCAGTTGCAGTACTGGTCAACGGATCAATTGCTCCAATGGACGATTTAAATCCTCATGACCACGGTATCTGGGCCGAGTGCCTTCATTTGATGCTATGCGCGCGAGATTGGATCGATGAGAAGTGAGAAAGATGACTTCGGGCTCAAAATTGACAGTCTGTGATGGAGCCCGACATCAGCATTGATCTATCTCTCGAATGCATCGATCTGTCCTGTTTGACCGTCGATGGAGCCTGAAGGGCATTCCGCAACCTCAACATGATGAGAATGACAAAGTTTATTCAGATGTGTCCATTCCCTTTCTTCCAACCTTGCATCTTTCCACTTCGTCAGACTGGGCACCAACGTCAATGCGGTTACCTGCAATGCCTCGGCGCGGGCAGCGCGATAAAGAAGCAGAGGAGGTCAGCGGAATCGATTGTCAACAGATATTGTGTGGTTGCAGGCTCACCTCCAAACAGAACATCATTCCGCATTGCACCCGCGCATCTGTTGTCCACCATCTTGAGCCTTCGGTCCTCCGCAACGCGCGTACGTCTTGAGAAAGGCGGTTCATGCTCGTCTTCGCTTCCCTGACTTGATGTACAGGTACTGAGCCCTCTACACTTACGCCAAAGTGCGAGCATGGTCGTGAGGGTTATTTTTTATAGTGGTTTGCTTCCACTTTTGTGTCCAGGGCTTTTTTTACGTGGTTTTGCTTCCACGGTGTTGTGAATATGCTTTTTTCAACTGGTTTTGCTTCCAGCGGTCGTCAAAGGTGCCTTCTTCTTGGGCAGCGAACCCGTAAGCCTTGTGGTGGTCTTTCTGGCGGAGGCCAGAGGGAATGTGGTGGTGGAGGTGGTGGTGGTGGTGCGGCGGCGGGGCGGAGCTCTCTGGCTCAGAGCCAGAACCAGTTGACGGCGAGTTCCGCCTCGAACGGGGCGTGCGAGAACGCCCAAAGGAGGTCCTCTGGCGAGAGCCAGGAGGCGAGGACGTCCTCCATAGGGACGCTCAGTGGGCTAGGCCCACTGGCGAGGGTGTTGCCGTCGGCGCTCAAGAAGAAGACGCGCGAGAAGGTGATGGCTTCGCCATAGTGTTCGCCTGTGATGATTTGATCAGCTCCATGTCATCTTGATCTTCAATGGCTCGATTGCACTTACTGGGGCCGAGAACGCCGAAGACCATCCAGCCACTGCGGTGCAGCAAAGCACCGCGCATGCACGGCTGCTCGCTGATAAAGCGGCGCCAGACCGCGTTCTCTTCTGTCGATGGCTGTGCCATCTTGTCGTCGGCTTTCTGGGCTCTGTGGGCTTGGTGATGGCGAGAGGGGCGGAGTGGTGGTGGTGTGTGTGCAGCAGTCTGTCGTGATGTGCGTGCAGTGGACGAAGTTCTGCTGCGAATTGCTTCAACTAACGACACACTCGCTTAGGGGCGACAGGGATTCTCACAGCAAACGCACTACAGATCGGCTGCGCATCGATCTCAAACGCTGGGGCAAGGCAATGGCAATTGAGGCAGTCAAGGCAGTCAGGCAACTATTAATTCTTCTTCTCCGCGCAGCGGCCATGGCAATGGCGACTGAGTGATGAAAAAGTTTGCAATTTGCAGTGTGTTCCAAAAATTCCCACCCGGCGAGGTAAACCTCAGGGAGGTAGACCTCATTGGGCAGAGCCACGTTGCCCCGAAGAGCGTTGTGTCAGGGAGCGTCAGGAGAACCATCATCCGCTCGACCTGTTCTCGAACCTGTTAATAACCGCCAAATTAGCGGTGTTCACAAGTGATGGAGAGAAAAGTTCAGAAAAGAGGGGGAAAAGGGTTCTTAAGTAGTCGAGCCATCGGCGGCCGGCGCTTGTTTAGATCAATGGTCGTCTGAGCCAATGAGAGCGCGTAGAACGTCCTGGAAACCAGCTTGCTAGCGCGGTTCGGATTTCGAAGTTCGTTGGTGAACTTGACCCTCGACCTGTTCGGACTTTGGGCGTCGCCAGCACGTTTGATGACCACTGATACCTCTACACACCTCGCACAACTTCGCATGTGCGTTATGTGTGATCAATGACCGTCAGAGAGTGTTGTAGATACCGTGCACCTAAAATGTGCGATCGCGTTGTGTCAAATGTGGTCATTCTGGGCTTTCGGCGCCTTGATCGTGAACTGCGGATTCTTGTGACCAACACTTGATGCACTGAAAGCGTCAGCGAGATGATAGCAACAGCCTTCCAATAGCCCATTTGTCAGAAAGAAGTCTTCTTGTCACTGTGCGCGCCGCCAGCTGCAACTCGCGAGCTGGACTTTGCTAGGGCCACCCAAAGTCACGTCAAACACAAAGCCTTCGGGGACGTTCTGACCGTCACAAGTCTGTCAGCTCACACAGAATACAGAGAAGATATTGCAACAAGCCCATTTGTCCTCAGAGCTCCATGGGGCAGCCCCTTTCTAGCTTTGCACGCGCTGACAAGTTTACTCCAGACCTTGAGCTCTGGGCTCCTAGACAATAAAGTCCGCACCACACCCACGAACGTCCATTGAAAAAGCGATTGCAATCGTCCAATTGGTTCCAACAGACGGTGCCGCTTACCCACGAGTCGCGCTGCAACACCTTCACCGCACCACGCCGGACATTGATCGACGCCACATCGAGACCCGTCAAGCGAGACAAGCCACCTTTCGAGAAACGGCACGCCAAAGACGAATTCCACCCGTGAGACCGAGATCTGACATGAAGAACATTGTACACACACAGTCAGCTTCAGCTCCGTCACTCACCCCTGAGGAGTTGAGACCAGCACTGCATTTGCGCTCGGTCGGGCACGGGCAGCGAGAAGGCACGAGCAAGAGCGGGAAAGAACGATGAGGACACTGTAGAGCTCTGGAAACAAAGAGACTCAGGGGAACCCGTCAACGATGGAGCAGGTGTTGTTGCATGATCAGCAAATCGGAGCTCATCCCATTGCAATCATGCTGCGTCGAGCTTCGTGGAAATTGAAGTCGGGATCATGGTAGAACGCGAGGACGAAAGAATGCAACAAGAAGGCATTGTGGTCATGGACACGGAAGAAAGACTAGGTCGAAGATGCAAGAGACGCACATCGTGAAGCAGCGCTTTGCTGAATTGGACTTGCCAGACTTGATCAAACGTTTGGGACGCCAAACTCTCAGCTCGCTCGCGAGTGGCTTAGATACACAGAGAAGGAAGCGAGAAGCAGATGTCCCAATTAGTTCCCGCATTTGAATCAATGTATCAGGCAGAGACATCTATGTCTCAGCGCGTGGAGGCGTAGGAGGAAAGGGCACTGTCGAGCTGCCTATGAACATCATATTGAAAGTCATCAGGAGTAGCTGTAGGTCTGACTATGCAGTACAAAAGTGGGATCGAACTCATAGTAGTGCATGAAGGAAATGTAATCTCAATTTTCACAGCCGTGTTGATACGCATCAGCATTGAGCTCTCTGGTAGAATCGTCGTCCTCTGACCATCCCAGGCTTCCTACTTGCAGCAGTTATCCTGCTGGAGCAATAGGACGACATACGTCTTCTCAGCAAAGGCATGAAAGTGTCCAGGGCTGGAAATGGATCGAATCTATAGAGCGAAGACGGAGAGGACACGATCGCAGCCCTGAGATCAACAACAGATTGCCATGCTATAAAGCGCGTTGATCGCTGGAAAGCCTTGGGTTCGGAAGTGCCCTTCTTGTTCGCCGCTGCCGATGAGTGCACTGGTGTCGGGTAGAATAAATGGCCGTCAAGGCTACTGGTGAATGATACAGCAGTTGTTGTGCAGGCTGTTGCATCGTCACAAACTTGCCCTCCACCATTCGGCAGCGCAATTGCTCGAGTGTATGGCCTCCTCATCTCCACCTTACCTGTTGTGTTTCCTTCGGATTCCCGCGCCCATTGTTTATGTCTCCATCCAGCCGCTTTCTTTCCCATGCTCTTCGTGATTCGCGGGTGCTCGAGTGCATCGAGCTGTTGGCACTAGGAATGGTTGATATTCCGCAGGAATGAAGTGCAACGAGGATCGGACCTGAAGCAAACAAGGAATAGGGATGCACAAGTTGCACAGAGTAAGGTCACTATCTTCTCTCCAGGGTCACTGAAGCAAGTGCAGCGGATGGTGCATGACCGGCACTTGGTCGCTTGTGCGGGAGCTAGTGGATGTCCACGAGTAGCTGCATTAGGCTGGCAGGGGTAAGTCACGTAGGCTCTGCTTGCTTTTGGCTTTGGGTCTTACGGTAGGTCATCATCAACGCAACGGATCACATGCGGCATCTCGTTACGTGTCGAAGATGGCACGATCTTCTTGCTCTGCTGTTCGTCTCAAAGAACGCAACGAAAGACTCCACTGGCTTCCTCCACGACGCGAATCACGAGGCCGTGGCATTTCTCCAGACAAGCTCTTCCTCTGTGAAGCTGGGCCGCGTCGAGCGACTCTTCACGCCAGGAGTACAACAGAACGATCTGATTTCCCTGACTTTCTTTCCACGAGTCTCCAGCGAATGGTCTCGATCACTTGGCCGGCCAGCGCAGAAAGAACTGCAACTCCTCCGATCTCAAGCAGCATGCTTCAAGCAGCATTCTTCAAGCAGCATTCTTCCAGCAACGTCCATCACGAGCAAGTGCATTCAAAAGCCAGCCGGCGCGCACTTGCCTGCGACACACACTCCATCAGCTGCGGCTGACCCCATCGACGGTCGACATTTGTTCAGAGTTCAGGCATTTTCGGCAACCGCTGAAGCGCGGCGGATTGAATCGACCATGAGCAGGAAGAGATGGAGACGCACATCCAACTGCGCGAGGATGTCTGCCCTACATGCCGCTATGGGAAATGCGTTAGACCTGCCCAGGTCCACCCAGCTAGCGTTTACGGGATTACAGCTTCGGCAACGACAAGAGGCTTGAGTCCGAAATTCTTCCTGCTGCCCTGCGGAGAAGTTGCAGCCATTCGACCAGCATCAAGATCACGGTAGGACCGTCGTACTGCGTGCAGGCCTTCACTGCCCACAGGTGGACGTGGCTTCGTCTGTCAGCCCTAGGTCTCGCTGGTGGACTACCGTTTCCTCCTTGGAACCCCAGTATACTCTTGCGAAGGGAGCAACGAACTTTGCTCCAAGCTAGCTGCGTGCTGACATGCTCTGCATCTCCACCTGCAGCATACACCTACTGTAGAAGCCCGAGATGTATGTGGTAGGTCGAGCCAAACTCTGCGGTAGAGGACAACAATCGATGGAGGAATGCTCGGATAAGGTACGAGAAATGCAAGCAGCAGATGAAGTGCATTTTGAGTTGCCAGTACTAAGTGGATCCGAACTGCAAAGCTCAACTCGTCATCATGCTTGTCCTCATTTCCGGTCCAAGGCCCGACCACCGGGTGGGCACGTGGTTCCCCTCTCTCTTTTCTTCACAACTCGGCAAGATCTGTTGCTCAGCACATCGTGCCACAGCAAACAAGCACTGGTCAGGATTGTATATCTCAGACGGTGCGGGTGAACTTTGAAGATCAGTGTGGCATGTCACGGGCGACGTACTATTGCGCTTGGCCAGATCGGAATACGATGGATACGACCATTGCGACTCAAGACCCGCGGCGCGGTAAAAGCCTCCGAAATGCCCGATGAGCGACATTGGATGCTTCGTCAGTGCAGTGACGATGAACTTTGGAAGGCGGTGTTGTGCAAGCTATCACAAGGCTGCACCGATGGTCAAGCTTGGAGGTACTTTGTCGGTTTTTGACTTCGCATCAGGTACGAGCAGACTGGTGCACAGCGTTGCTTGGCACCTTATCTGGTTCATGGCACAGGCAACGCCAATCTTTTGCATCATAGCGCCCGCGACAGCCACCATCCGAGCTGGAAAGCCACTCTTGTGAAAGCATTTATGCATGGAAGTTGCACTTGTGCAAACCCTAATTGGTCGGCCTGCGTTTGAAACAGCATTAGCCCCATACTGTGCCCGTGCAACTCGTCCCTTTGGCGTATGACGATCGCATACGAGAAGTACGAGGTGGATCCAGACATCTTATCACTATCTTTGCATGCCACGACATACTTATACAAGCATTCCCGTGGCTGACTGTCGACTCTGAGAGTATTGTTCCTCCCGTGAGCCTCACCCGCAATGCTGCAGGACACTATTTCAATTTCGCAGCTTGCCTTTTCGGCAGGCTCTCTGCTTATTGCTTATTCATTCTTCTCAATTGTAGTGCTCCCTTTGATCTCAGCACGAGGGAAGTTTCTGAGCTCGCAAACATGGATCGGCATCAAGAAGCAATGGTTTGCTCACTACCGAGCTGGATTTGCAGCGGTGAAGAATACGCACTACATGGTTAAAGAGGGGGCAAACAAGGTTGGTTTATCTCGTATTCATTGGAAAGACGCACAATGCTGACAACCGCAAAGTGTCTCAAGCGGGGCAAGCCATTCGTCCTGCCGCAATTCAGTGCAGAGCCATATGTCATCCTTCCAGCTCACACTCTACAAGAGGTGATGAACCACAGAGACGATGAGGTAGACCCACACACTCTCAACAACGAAGGAATCGCGCATTCATACACCATTGGCACGGCTTTCGTTGACGGACCGCACTTCGATGTCGTCAGGCGCCAGCTCACTCGCAAGCTTCCGACCTTGACGAACGATGTCTACGGCGAGCTAGTGCAGGCCATGCACGACCAATGGCCGGTCAACAGCACCGACTATGTTTCGATCAAAGCATATGATTCCTGTATGAAGATCGTGAGCAGAGCTGCCAACAGAGTATTCTGCGGGAGCAAGCTCTGCCGGATACCTGAGTTCCTGGATTACTCCCGAATCTATTCTGTATCAGTGTTCAAGGCCGGAGGCATCATGAAGCTATTTCCGAAATGGATGAAGCCCCTAGTGGCGCCTATCTTAACAAGAGACGTTCACAACTACAGGGAGAAGTGCAAGCGTATTGCTGTTCCAGAGATTCGGGAACGTCTAAGTCACTTGCAATCGGAGGCCAAAGACCCAAACTACGTGGAACCGAACGATGCGCTGCAATGGCTACTCAGAGAGTCGATTGAATTGGGCAAGAAGGATGCGTTCAACCTGGATGAGGATGTGATCGTGCGCCGCCTGCTGCTATTGAACATGGTTGCAATCCACACCACAAGTCTAGTCACCACAAACACGCTGCTCGATATCTACGGGTCTCCTGATGCCGAGCACTACGTTGCCGGCCTTCGCGAGGAATGTGAAAGGGTTTTGGCTGAATTTGGCGGTGTCTGGACGAAAGACGCCGTCAACAAGCTCATTCGTGTCGACTCTGCGATTCGCGAGACAATGCGCTACACCGCACTTGCGGACATCAACCTGAAACGTTTGATCACCGCTTCCAATGGCATTACGCTGAGCAACGGCATGCACATCCCATACGGCACACGCGTCGCCTGGTCATCGTATGACGTCCATCAAGGCCAGGAGCGATATCCCGAACGACCTCATGAATACGACGCTTTCCGTTTCTCACGACCCAGGGAAGACTATCTTGAGCGTGTCAAAGCTGGCGAGGATCCTGAGCGGTTACAGCGAGTGCTTGAGCAGAAGAACACAGCTCTCATTGCCGTTGGTAATGATTGGATGTCCTTTGGCCATGGTAGGCACGCTTGTCCTGGCAGGTTCTTCGCTTCGCAGGAAATGAAGTTGATGGTCGCACATGTTGTCATGAACTACGACATTAAATGCGAGGGAGGCAGGCCGGCCAATGTGCTCATCAATGGATCGTGCGTACCAAGCCCGACTGCTGAGTTGCAGATTAAACTCAGGTCGTAAATAGATGCAGACGTCAATATCGACAGACTTTCACGCACTGGATCTCAAGCACTCTGACGATACTTGAATCAGGTTTCGTGCAGCTTCTTCAAGCCTGGTGGCATTGACGGAAGCGTGATATGTGAGTGACAGGTCGGCGAAGCAAGCTGGAAATGGCCAAGTCCGTCGCATCCTGTGTTCTCGATCTCGTCCCGCTCATTGAACCCCGTCGCAAGCGTCAACACGTTGACACTGAACGCAACTTGGATTTGGAGTGACTAGGAGCTTTTGACAATAATGAGCGGAACATTGACGGTTGCGTTTCTAAACCTTTAGTATCTCGAGGTGAAACCAGCTTCTGAAATCCATCACTATCGTCCACGCGTTGGCATTGATCCCAATCTGGGCTCGGAGCAGACGAAATTCTCGACAGACGCTGGAATAGTATCAAAAATCCCGTATTCGAATCCCCTGTGATCTCCATTTGATATAAGTCTCTGGATCCGTCGCTGTTGCACACGCACTGGCATGGAACACAATATGGACTTGGAGTAGACAGAGGTTTTTGCCGGACAAAATGGATAACATCGATAACTGCCTTCAGATCTTCTGTGTCCCTCTTATCAAGGACTGATGGACCGATTATACACCCATTGACATTGTATGCAATCTGAGTTCAGAGTGAAATGAAACGATCAATGGAGCTTGGTTAACTTCTGACTATCGCATTCTCGGATTTTCTGTGTGTCTCTCAAAGTTGGCAACCAGATTCCGCTGCTCTTTCATGCCTGTTGGCATTGGACGCAATCTGAACGCGGAGTGAGTGAAATGGTCGATGAAATCTCAGACCACATTGAATTTTTTATTACCGGGTTTCGTGTGTCCCTTGTTTGAGTGATATGTCGAGTCCTGTTACTGTCGAACATCTGTTGACATTGAATGTAATCTGGACTCGGAGCGAATGAGTGACGAATGAGGCTCGAAAGATATTGACCCCAAGTTTTCGGCGACCCGTTGGCATTCTGACCATGACGAATTGGAGACAAAACGTTCGATAGAGGGAAAAGTGAATGAAAGTGAAGTTCGTTGTATGGCATGTCCTATCGACCGGAGCGCCAATGGTCCTCTCTAAAGTCCCCAACCCCCTCACTTCTCCATCACTGCATCCTTCACTTCCTTCACCTTGCTCGCGAACTCTGGCAGGAAGTCGAATTCTTTGGCGGCCTCGTCCATCACTTCCACCAATTGTGTCTTCTCCTGCTCCAGCTTCTTCACTCGCTCGAGCAATTTCTGCTCGTTGGCTTGGTAGCCCAAAGCCTGGTTGACGCGCTCATTTCTGCTGTTTTGCTCATTGATTTGAGCGATTTGGAGGCGGTGGGTGAGGCTTGCAATGGTGTTGTCTCTCTGTTAAGCTGTTAGCAGCGAGTAGATGGCAAAGAAACAGGTGAATGGCATACCTCGACAGATCTGGTCGTGAGCCACTCGATCATCAGCTCCTGCTGCTCAATCTTCTTCTGCAGCTCGGTGCTGTTCGCCGACATTTTGGTGGTGCGGTGCGGTGGCTTGGTGGTGGTGGTGTGTGGAAGAGTTGGTGCTGCCGAGCAGAAGAGGAAAGGCGACGCGTGCGGTTGCTGTTGCTGCTGTGGTGTGGTGATGATGTGTGGCAGAGCGTTGTTGCGGAAGAAATTGTTTGTGCTGGGCGACTTCATAGAAGCTATGGCCACTGACCACGGAGGCAGCACTGCCAGAAATACGCCACAATGCATTGTTTGGTGGCTCATTTCATCGTCACCTGCAGCACGCGGGAGGAGGGTACTAGAACAACATGCCATTGAATGCCTTTCACGCTTCTACCGAGCGTTCAGAACGCTGACGCTACCAGAGCTGATTGTATATCTCGTGGGCTGTATCACTTTAATTGGAGGCATATGAAGGGGAGAGGACGTGAAAGTTGTACGAAACACCCTATGTGTTGATTGTAGCCATTCCAGCTTCCTTAGAGCTACCCTGTGGTCAATATGCTACTTGAACCGATCGATACGGATCGATCAATGGATTGCAGATATGAACGGCGCATCGCCCATGGCTACCCGCGTGCTCCGTGACACTTTTGAAGCCGTCATCTTGCTTCTTCCATCACCCATTGCAATCTGTACGACCTCCAATGAAACCTCGTCATCCTTCTTGTCCCAGTACGATCAGGTAGGTTTCCTTGCCCAAATACCTTGGCGCCTATCTCGGTTTCGATACCAAGATTTACACCTTCGCTGCAGATGTCTACTTCCTTGGCTTGTTCTCAGGCATTTAAGCAGATGCGAATCTCGTGCACGGAGGAGGATCGTCACTGCCGTCTCCAGTTGTGACGACCCGTGTGGGAGTACCAGCGAGACTCTTGTGACGGTAGTCGGGCGCCTGCTGCGTCTGCTTGTAAGCTCGTTAGGCCTTTGTTGCCTGGTGCAACTGCGTGTCGTCCATCGTGTTCGAGTTCGATTCTGCGTCTCCTCGAATGGGTGTCTCAGTGCGTTGCCGGAAGACGGCTCAGAGGATCTGAGTCTCCGTCTGCTCCATGTTCCCCAATCCCCCGACAGCTCAGGAGGGCGAATCTTCAGAAAGCCTCCCGTGGACGCAGTTTGACACCTTGTGTGCTCCGGATCGATGCAGGGTGGGCAGGGACGACTTCACGTTTCGAAGTATTGCATGCGAGCTTGATCGAGTGGCTCATGATGCGAGCGAAGATCTGGCCTCGATGAAGCGCAGAAAGGGGCTTGTTGAGCAGGGCGTCCCTCGCGGGCAATCACTGTCGTTACTTAGAGGGCGCGGCGTCTTTCTCATCCGCGGAGCGGGATCAATTGGCGAAGTCGAATGGGCCACGCTCGATCTTGTCGTCAAAAATCGATTGTGAGGTCATAATCTGCAGCGTCAGACAGCGCCTTAACGCTCGACTTGCTTAAGCGTTGCGGCGGCCAAGCTCCATAGAACTCTGCCCCATCAACGCCGCTTGATACCGCACGCTCTCAACAAACGAACTCGACACATTGCACGTTGAAAGAGCATTGTCTATCGATTCAGGCGTTATCGACGAGCCGAACATCACGAATCAACACCATCGAGATTCGCAGCGGATTCGGTCTTCTTTCAACAGATTTCAAAGCAATCACAGCAAACCTTGTGAGATATTTCTGGCGACCGCGATCGACCTTTCCAGCACAACCGAACATCATGGAGCCAACCGACGACAAGAAGTTGCAGGAAAGCTACGCCCGTGAAGTTGCAGAAGCCGAACAACGTCTAGTTTTCGAGCGAGAGCGCAGCCTAGACAATGCTGAAGAGGTGGATGGCGTGTGGCGCGAGCGTCTGGCTCCAGGGGCTGAGCTCGAACGATTGAAACAACAATGGAAGGAGCAAGGACTCCCTGGACCAAGCCTGAACAACACCCCGTTCAGGTCATTAGACCTTGCAGCGGACACAATGGCCAATACATACGCATTTCCGCCTCCTATGCCGCCGATGGCTCAAGCTTCCTTTCCACACATGCCATACTGGCCACAACCAGCGATGGCTCATCCTCACTCCCTGCCTCGCTTTCCATTCGAGCCAACAGGTAGCCCCTGCCAAGCTGCAGGCTATTTGCAAGGACTTGGAGCAGTCTCTGAAGAGGGCACTCGCCGCCATCGACTCAACCCTCGAGCGGCACCATTTGTCCCCACCTCGCCTCTGCCCACTACCGATCGCCAGAAGCGACGCCGGGACAGCGAGCAGAGTTTCTACACAGCTTCCGAGGCGGCCGCCTCAACTGATAGTTTCCATACCGCGTTGGAGCCAACAATCGTGAGCGAGGGAGATGGAGTGGCTGGGAAGATCCTCGATGATCAGAGAAAGTAGTGTTCTGGAACCCTCCACCTCTGTCCCAAGGATGCCAGTGGAGGCACGGGGTATAGATACGCGGTGGTTGTTTCTTGGATCGAACAAGCAGAGATAATGGTTTTCATTTGAAGTTATACTCATACACTCCTGCGCATTATGTCGGAGACTACTTATGCGTGCAGAAAGTAATCGCTCGACGCCAGCTCCATCTCTGATCCATCGTGAAAATCCGAGCCATGGAAGTCGAAGAAGTCTCTCGCCTGGTCGACCAGTCTCGGTGGAGCTTTGAAAGATAGATTCCACTCTTCTGCCCTCCAAGTGAAGAACAAATCGTCCCAATGATACTCCTTCTTGATGACCGGGATCTTTTTCTGCAAGATTTGGTAGAAATACTGGTCCACCTTCTTCAAGAACTCTTCCGCATCGGCTCCTGAGGTCACATGTCCTGCAGCGAGTTTGACTCTTCTCGGCACAATCTGCCAACCTTCGTCTCCAAGGCTCGTAGCCTCTGCTTTTGCCCTTCTCTCAGCCTTTGCGTTTTCAGCTCTTGCCAATACCAACAATTTCCGTAGGCTCGCCACCCATTCGATGAGATTTCCACTGGATGGGAAAACAATACTCGCTCCTCCGCTTGAGGTACCTTCAACAACTCTGTCCTCTTCAGCTGCCCCATTTGAACTTCTCTCCTCGTACATCATATCGCCCACATATAACCACATCTCCTCTCGGTCGTACCATGCCAGCGAGTCTGGGGTATGACCAGGTATCAAAATGAATGTCACCTTCAAATCCAGTTTCACGAACAAGTTTCGCTTTGGATTGTTGATTTCGATGTATAGCTGATCGAATGCTTGAGCCCATTTGGTGACGTAGTAGAATGGGACAGGCTTGTTGATGAATTTGAATAGTGAGTGAGCGTCGAAATCTTCGGATTCGATGAAGTCTCTCCCCCATGATGAGGCAATGATCTGAGGCGGTCTCTGGTTGTCCGGTGGCCCAGCAGGTGGAAGGAATTGTGTGACGCCGCCGATGTGGTCGTAATGGCAATGTGTGAAGATTATGATGTAGTGGAGGCTGGCATTCGGATTCAGTGGCTTGTTGTCGTTGGAGGCGATGGGAAAGTTCTCGAGGTAGTCGCGCAGGTGGATGAATTGGCTATTCTTGTGTCGAGCATCGGGCTCATCGCAGCCCGTATCTGTGAGGATGAGTACAGGAGCGGTTGGTGGAAGTTTGACATAGATGAATGGTCGCTCGCCGTAGGCGTCGTGCTCTTGGATAAGGAACGTCGTGCTATTGAGCTTGATGGTGGAGAATGATGATGTTGCCATGTTCCGCCGTGTTGCGCCGGTCGGCAGTCTTCGATTGCAAGAGTATTACATTGTCTTGCCTTGGGGATGTCAGCGTGGTTCTCCGCTGCGGAGAAGTGGAGAGGGAAGCGTAAATGTGCAGGACGCTCTCATTGGCAGAGAACCCATGTCAGCTTGTTCTGCGCTAGTTAATGTCCATTAAATTTCACACCCTGCCGGAATGCGCACCGTGGTCGTTCGATGACGACCTCCTGGACTGGCTGCTTTGATTTTTCACTTCCAATTCGCCTTTCCTTGGAGAATCTAGACAACCGCAAGCAGCACCGCTTCACAACCTCGATGTCGCCTTGACTTCGCGCGCACTGTACTTATCCGCGAAGAACAAGAGAGCTGGGCAAGCTATCGCAGAGTACATGATGGGAAATCTATTGGTAGAAGACCCATGTCGGTTGCTTTCGCGCTAGCTAAAGTCCGCAAAGCTGAGGCCACTTGTGAGGGCTGAAGTGTGTGCATTTCCTTCCGACTTCAGATAGTCTGCAGAAAATGCAGTCTTACAGGCAACGTCGACACGACACGCCAAATCATCTCTTAAGTGACCATCGAACCTTACGCTGAGGGCTGCGTCGCCTTTCCAGTGTCGACGTGACCGCGACCTCCCGCTCTCATCGTAGGACGAAGTCGATAAAGCAGATGGCAAAAAGGGAGCGTGCGTACGTCGGCGGATTGCGTCGCACAGATACTCGCTGAGAGCAGACCTGCGTCCATACCTCGTACGTTTCCAGACCGATAGAGGCTGCGCAGAGCAGTGGAGAGTACTCGGCCAAAGTACATCTAATGCGCGTCAAGGTTCACAACTACCTGCTGACGCCACATCAGAGCTAGACTACGGCACTCTCCTCTCACAGTACTGTTTACGGGCCCGCCAGCTCCTCTTTTCTCCAACAAAGCCCAGCCACTTCGACAAGTGCTTCGCACAACACGCTGGAGACTTGGAGCGACTTCATGCTCATTCGGCTACCACTCATGGTCCATCGCACGATTTTGGCCGTTGGCTTGCCAAGCTGGCGCATGACAGCTCCCCGCCTTCTGCGGGCGTATTTCGAGGCACCAAAATGGTCTTCTCGTTCGAGAATTGCCGTAGCGGCGCCTCCGAGGGATGGCTTCGATGGCAGCATATCGTCAACGCCATGAGCTAAAGTTGGTCTCACGAGCGTAGTACACAAACAAAAGTCTGGACGGCAGCGTGATCTTCAGCCGCTCCGGCGGATCCCTCTGCTTCGCGATCTACGCTTGCTCAACACTCTCGTGCAACAGCATGCATGCAACCGGCCGCGTGGTTGACACGCCGACAGTCACATTCACACAAACTTTGGCTCTAGAACTTGCAGCTACCGGATGAAGCAAGTCGGACGCACTTTTCTGAGGTGGTGCACGCGCATCCGCCCTACTCGGCCCCTCCGCACGTTCCGCGCAACGTCATTGTATTGTGTCCAAGCATGCGCGGTGGTCGAGGGACGCTCTCGATCCTCATTGCTTGCAACGGCGGGCAGCGCCATGGGCTACGCGCTACGGCTCGCGGCAAGCACTTGCGGCGATGCCCGTTGACAAGAACATCATGAGACTGTCCGCTGCTCTCTTGGCATTGGCCGGCGTCGTGCCATGCATACGGACGCCACGAGCTATGGACCACATACTCTCCTCTTGTGTATTGGTCAGACCGTTCGCCAGACATATTTAAGAAGACACAGTCCCCTGGCAGTACAACATACGCACACAGTCAAACTCATAGGATCACTCATCATCCAAACAACACATTTGCTACCATCATGGCAGACGCACGCAAAGTCATTTATCAACTGACGAGCCTCCGGCCAATCCCACACTACCATCCCGGCCTTTAGAGCGGCACAATAGCCTTGTACAACGACCCACATTGGAACAGTGAAAAGCATGTTCTTAGCATACAAGACTACGCCAAGGGCGAGCGCCACACCATCCCTCCACAATTCAATGACAAGGCAACCTGGGTTGCGTGGAATTTGCCTGTAGGGACTGTCGTGACGGTCGCAAATCATCACAAACCGCGAGACAGTGGCAAATCTGTGGGCAATCTGGATGGTAAGCAAGAGTACAGCGAGAGACACGCCGAACATTCATTCTGATCGCATTGCAACAGGCATGGGCAGCTCTGTCGATCTCGTTGGCACTGGTCAAATCCAGGGCACCGATCTCCGCGATTGCGAAATGAACGATAAAATTGCCACTTGGTTCTGGCGCGAAGTTGATCTCAAACTCGGTGCCATTGAGCTTTTCGAACATCCGAACTTCTCTGGTCCACGCGTGACATTGTTCCTGAGCGAATGGGAGGCGGGCAAATTTCATAATCTACCGGACTGGCACATCAACGACATCATGAGCTCCGTACGCTGGAAGGGATTACTGGACAGGCAACGCGTTATGATGTGGGAACATCCAAACGGCGTCGGAAACTCCTACCCAAACATCAAAGGCTGGGGCAACATCAAAGAAGTGGCAAACATGTCTGATGCCCACTTCAACGACTGCGTGAGCTGCTTCAAGTGGGAGCCCATCCTCCCAGTGAAAGAAATCATCCAACCAATCAAGATCACCCCAACTGGCGGTCGGACGCAGAAAGTTGGCGACGCTCTCGTCTACAACAACACAACTGAAACCGAACAGTCGATCTCATTTGAAGTCAAGAGAACCCTCAGTCAAACACTAACAGTCTCAACAAGCGAGACAAATGTCAGAGGCGTAACATCAGGATTGCGCGTCAGCGCTGGCATTGAAGAAATCGGCCTCGACTTGGAATACTCTCTTGAGTTGTCTTATGAGTATACAAAGGAGAAGAGACCCGAAGCGAGCAACACCGATTCGATCGAAGTCACAATCAATCACCCAGTCAAGGCTCCTCCAGGCGGCATCACAGAGGCGAAATTGGAAGTCTCGCTGAGCAAGATCCCACAAACGTTTTATACTACCACGGCGACACGGTGGTACGACCAGGAATTGAGTGGCAGTGTTCGCGATAATTCGGCTCAGGGTGGAGGAAAGTACAAGCGCGAAGAACAGATTGTGGTGCAGGTGGCTGGCTACCTCCCAAGTCAGGCGTGTACCTTCGCTCGTATGTTCTTGCCTCTTGCCTCTAGTGGTTTGGTGCCTCAGGTTTGGATGCTCTCGCGGAGAGTTACTTCCTAAAACAAGAAAACATTCTAAGCGCGGCAGCTACAAAGGTCTGACTTGGGAGGTAGGTGGCTGGGGGTCTGGTCAGCGCGAAGAATGTTGTCACGAAATTCAAGCCACACCAGTCTTGAAGTTGTCAGATTCAAAGGAATAAGGAGAAAGAATCAGACATCTGCAGTGATTCAAAGTAACTCGGAAGCCTTGTTCAGATCTGTCCATGTTCTGCTCTAAAGCATCATCACCGCCCAACCAGCTGTAATTGCAACAGAGAGCCAAGCAAATTGATTCGCCCCAGACATCATTCCTGCAGCACTATTCTCAGATCCTGATCCAGAGCCCGAGCCCGAGCCAGAATCTGTTCCATTCCCGATGCCATCACCGCCACTTCCGCCACCCTCCGTTTCGTTGCTCCTTGGCCAGCAATACCTCTCCAGACATCCCGTGCACACTTCAGGAAGGTCCGCAGCTTCGACACTCTTGTGCACGATAGCACAAGCAAGACAAGCAGCCCACTCCTGCGCTTCGGTAGAGTTCTGCTGGCTTTGCGTCACCATAGCGACACCTCCTTCGAAAGTTGCGTTGACTTGCTCGGCCGTTTGCTGGAAGCCTGTAGGGGCTTCGCCTAGCTCGGTGTTGGGCAGGTAGATCAACGTTGCAGTGTTATTATCATTGCATCCATAAAATTGAGCGCGAGATGAGAGGTTTGCTGCGACGAATTCGGAGGGCGTGGGCACTTGCGGCATTCTGGTCAGATTCTTCTCTTGCGCCGAAGTGTAGGTGTTGTAGAGCCATGTGCCGTTTGTGATGTTGCCGGGCTGTTGAGTTGCGGCATCGACGAGGACGATGACATCGATGTTGCGCTCAGGCTGGAGGAAGGGGAAGACGGGAATGGCTTGTCCGCTGTCACCGCCGTCTGTGCCGAAAAGGTCTTGTTGGTCTCGAATTGGACCTGCTTCGGAGCTTTGATAGAAGGGGTTGGGGACGATGCCGTAGGGGTTGACGAGAGAGACGCCGGAGAAAGCAGTGTTGACGGTGCCCGCAAGAGAGCTGAGCGAGTCGGTGCTCTCGTTGCCAGTTGAGCAGGTATCGTCCTGTGAGTGATCATCAGTACCTCCGCGCTGATTTGGGCGGACATTGGTACTTACGACAAGGATGTTTGACGAGATGGCAGTGATGAAGCCAGTGTTGTCAAAGCCAGTGGTGCATTGGCTTGAGTTACCTGCCACGGAACCCATGTATTGAGTAGGGTAGAACGCATCGACGTTGCTGTCCCATGAACCAAATTCCAATGGCGCAACCTCCCAGATGGCACTGGTCTCATTCGGAGAGCACATGCCAGCAGCTACATTCGCTTGGGTGATTGTGATGATCGGATATGGAGCAGAATGATCCTGGAAGCTCGACTGGGAGGTGACGTTGGACCAGTGAAGGCCATTGCCACCTGTCGCAGAGATGAAGTTGTACGAGATGACTTTTCCGTAGATATCAATGAGTGATGCAGGATATCCTGCTGCAGTCTTGTTTCCGACGTCGGCGCGCTGTGTCCATTGTCAGTATGCGCTCTGAGATGTCTCTCGCATGTAACAGCTTACGATCGCGTCAGCATTCGTGAGAGGCGCAGAGAAGATGTTCTGATAGCTCTCCTCCAACAGCTCGTCCCGCAGTGTAGACACTTGAGCAAAATTGTTCGACATGATCCCACTCAAAGTCAAAGATCCTCCAGACAGCGCCGACACATATGTCATGCCTTGCAGCAGGCCAGCCACGGGAGAATCACTGCTTTCACGGCCATCCAGACCATAGACTGCTCCAGCAGTTGTCAGTCCAGCCTTGGTTCCGCCACCACTCAGCGCCAGCGCAAGCTTTGGGAGTCTGTCCGAAGAGAAGCCATCCAAGGTCCTGCCCAGCCATGATGAAAGATCCTCGGATGCTCTGGACAATCTTTCCTGCGCGTAGCTTTCTTCATCCGGATTGAGAGAGTCTGCGACTCGAATGGAAGCTGACGATGGACAAGACGTCGATGTCGGAACATACGGATTATCAGAACCTGCTTGCCGCTTCCATGGTAGTGAAAAAGCACTCGCTGACGCGACGCTCAAGGCGAATACTGCTGGCAGATCTGTACGCATACTGGGCAACGGTCGTCAGGCTGAACAACAAAAGACCGCGTTTTCATCAGGCGAGCGGGCTCCACATTGTATAAGAAGCTCGCGTGCCTGCGCTCGTGCTCCCGAGGTGCAGTGGGACTAGTTAGACCGCATAACGGTTGACTAGCCTGATGAAGGCGCTCCATATTTCAGCCCTTCCAGGCTTGCTCTCGGTCAGCATCATCAGCACCTTACCGGAGCTTGCTAGTGGTTATTCCTGGGACCCCGAATACTCCGGACTTGCAGCTCCAGTCATCGGCAGACATTCTTTGCACAGCCTGTTCGTCCGACGACAAGGCAGGATTGATGCGTCGTCAGCGAGATGAGCACGTGGAAGGCGGCTGCCCATGACATACTCGCGAAGCTGCGGGATCTGACCAGGCCGTGAGACGATGCTCCGATCTTGTTGACGAGACAGGTTGAAGCGTACTGAAATAGCAAACTCCATCCGGTCTGCTGCAGGCCAAAAGGCAGATCGAGCGCAGGCTTTCATTGGCACGGCTTGCACGGAAGCTAAACGATGACCGTATGCAAGAGGACTCGAGATGCATGGAGCATGCGGCCGGCGGCCGCTTTCCATCGGGGTCTACATAACAGACGATCAATTTGACTCTACTGCTTCTCGGAAACACACTGTCATCACCAGAGACGCCATTCGGGCTCCATCAGAATGCTGACCGGGATAGATCATGCTCCCGCAGCCCACCCTGCCCGACCGCTCACTCCGCGCTCCGCCCTCGTCCCGTCAAGAAGTTGACTCCTCATCACGACAGCAAGTCTGCGTCTCCCACGAAATGCAGACTGACCTGCCCCATGCTGCACTCCACTGCGCACCTGCCACTATAAGACAATCATGGGAATACCGTAGTGAAGTTGGACAACGCACGCCTGTCTCACATGGCCTGGCATCTTGTGGAAGAGCATGTCTCATGGGCACGAATGTGTAGGCAATATATATCTGTAAGTCAGCAGGTCTGAAGCTGTTCGTCTGCACAATTGTCTTGCTCTCTCTGCACGAGCCCAGACCTTACGTCGCATTGGCCTGCAGCCTATAGACATGCACCTGCATAGTCTCAACGGTAAGTGCTCTGTAGCTGCATGATGAAGTCGCGCATTCGGCGCCCTTGAGCAAACGGTAATTCCTGAGCACGATCGCTCCGCCTCACGTCTACCAATCCCACGCGATCGATATGGAAGGCGTCCAGAAAACAGCAAGACGGCTCAGCCGCCAGATGGGCATAAGGACAAGCCCAGACACAGAAGAATGGGTGGAGGCAGTGCATGGCAGTCTCTGGAAACTGACCACCTACCGCGGCACCAGAACGGAATCTCTGTCGCGATTCAGAATCGACAAGATCTTGGACAGCGTGAAGGCGACATACACTGCAATTAAGAATTCGGATGCCATGCTTCGGCTTTCGCGAGCGACTACTCCAGGCACCAGAGCGCAAAATGGACCACATTGATACGGAGCTGTTGAGCAGAGTCTTGCAACGAGTCCTGTTCCAGCCAATCGAAAGCGCCGGAGTTTGCTGGAAGACTGTACAGAATGCTATAGCGAACGCCAACTTGACACATTTCGAGCTGGATCGGATCTATGCCTCCGGCTGTCCTGTATTGTCGCTCCTGTACTCGAAATATGCGGACCGAGAAGACGAAATGGGCATTTTCATAGCCCCAAAAGCCGCGATTACCTTTCTTGTTGGACGCAAAGACAGACTTCCAGCATTTGGCAGCACTTCGTGGTACATCGTTGACATTGCTTGCTCAAACGCTGGGAAGAAGAAGAAGCCGCTGAGACTGAAGCTGAAGATCGGCATCCGACATGAAGCTATTCAGAAGTATCTTGTGGATGCCGCGTACGTGGAGAACCTGAGCATATTATGCCAGACGCCGCATCTCATCCATTCGGACTGCGTTAGGAATGACTAGCAGCGATAGCGGCATTGCATGAGTGGATTTGGGCGTTTTCTGCAACATCATGGCTGGGTGTTATCCGCGAAGCTTTTACTTCATTCGACGCAGCACAATGTACTTCATGGACACTATAGCTCGAAGTAGCAGCAGAATGCATGATTTGTGTCTCCAGCCAAATTTTTGGCCAAGGCAATGCTTCACGTGGAGCCGCCAGACCTCGGCTCGACTTCGCGTGCGATTGCCGGCAGTTCGCGTCGTTGACAGCGTGAACGCCGACATGCCTGCCCTGCTCGACGCCCATGTCCACTTTCCCTCCCGCCATTTGATCCTGCTCAAGACACATACACATCGATAATGGAGAACTATCGTACTATCACACACAAGATACCGGCAGCACATCTGCGAGAATTCCCGCAAGCTACAGCACAATCAGAAGAAGATGTGCTGCACTTCGTCGTCAAGCAATATATCCCCCTCGACAACCCCAATCCTCAGCCTGGAGACGTCACGATAATCGCCGCTCATGCCGTCGGCTTCAACAAGGAACTCTACGAGCCCCTGTGGGAAGATCTTGCCGCACAAGCGAAACGCCAAGGCTGGCGCATTCGCAGTATTTGGATGTCCGATGTAGCATGGCATGCCGAGAGCTATGCATTGAACGAAGATCTGATAGGCAATGATCCTGGCTGGTATGATCATTCACGAGATCTCGCCAACCTGATCAATATCAAGCGAGCGGAAATGCCCAGACCGATCATTGGTCTAGGGCACAGCATGGGTGGCAACCAAATGTAGGTCCCGAAAGATCTGACACACGTGAAGCCAGCCCTAACAGCATACAGCACTAAGCTTGCTATGGACCATGCTTCTCTTTTCACGACCCTGATCCTGATCGACCCTGTCATTCAAATGAGATCAGCCGAAATTTCCAAAGAACAACCACGAGCCAGCGCAGCAGTAGCTTCGACATACCGCAGACAAATCTGGCCTTCACGAGAAGAAGCTACAAAATCATTCCTCAAGTCCGCCTTCTACAAGATCTGGGACCGACGCGTGCTGGACCGATGGGTCTCGCACGGCCTACGAGATTGCCCCAACGCAGATTTCCCCGACGCGCAGCCCGGACAAGTCAGTCTCGCAACGCCAGCAGCGCAAGAAGTTTGGTCTTTCCTGAGAACAAATTACGATGGTTACGGTGTGGACGGCAAACCCATTGATCGATTCACGCATCCCGACCTCGATCCCACATTACCCGATCAGAAGCCATATTACCGTTCAGAGCCTATCTTCACATATCGTCGACTTCCTGAACTCCGGCCCAGCGTCCTTTACATCTTTGGCGAGCTATCAGATGTATGTCCTCCGAAAGTAGCGCGGGATAAGGTATCCAAGACTGGAATTGGCGCAGGAGGGAGTGGCGGAGAGGAGGAAGGCAGAGTGAAGGGAGTCATGTTTGAGAAGATAGGGCATTTGATTGCAATGGAGACGCCTGGACGGACGGCGGAGACCATGGCGGACTGGGTTGGTAAGGAAATGGTGATCTATAGAGAGCAGAGGAAGAGGTTGGAGGAGTGGTGGGCTAAGCCTTCGAAGGAGAAACGCTCGCTTGATGCGAAGTGGATCGCAGAGATGGGAGGGCCACCAAAGCGGAAGAATGGCAATGGAGGTGAGAAGGCGAAGATCTGAGCTGAGTGCTGTGAGTGCATATATGTGCATCGGATGAGGTCGATCTGCATTCGGAATATAAGGCGCGATGAGGACAAGAAGCATGTTAGATACGAATACGCAAGCGACATTTCCAGCATAGCACTGTACATACTGATCTCTGAAAGCCCAACCCGGCAACACAACACCTTCATATCTCCTGCCAACAATCACATAATCGCCGGCTGCGGCTCCCCAGGCTTCGCCTCATAAGAAATCCTCCCACTAGGCAAAAAGAAAAACGCCACACCTTTCCCTCCTCTCGCCCTAGGATAATGATGCGTTCCAGGCCCCGGACTCGTCCACCCCTTCCCCATCCAAAACCCCTCTGGCAAACCCTCCAACTCAAATGTCTCATCAATCGGTACCACGCAATTGATCTCCCCATAAGGATGTTTATGATATTGTCCCGAGTACTCTTTCTCAGAATCGAAGTACACAGCTGTCAAACTCATCCAGAGATTTTCGGCTGATGGGAGCATGATTTTGCCGCGACGGTATTTGGCTCCGTCGATTTCGTGGGTGGCGATCCAGCCTTCGCTGAGGCCTTGTTTGATGAGGGTGCAGAAGTCTTCGTAGTAGGGGTTGCCGGGGCCGTAGTTTTCGTTGAGGTGGGTTTCGAGGATTTTGCCGGGGGTGCTTTTTGGCTGTCAGTAATGAGGACGGGCGCTGGTAGAAAGTCTTGGTAAGGCTCACAGGTTCTGAATCTCTTTCATGAACTCCAGAGATCGAGCTGCAAGTTTCTGAGCAGTAGGATGCGTGATGAGATCGACTCCTTCTGGTGAGCCGTCATGGCCTGGTTTGGTAGTGAGGTTAGACATTGTTTCGTTCTTCATGTGTCTGTATCTCAGCAACAAGAAGCAACAGACGCCTTGAGCAGCTGGAACCAGGTTGTCCTCCCTTCGCATTCGCATGCATACATATATGTCTTGACAAAGCATGCAACAAACTCGATGTGCTTCACTTACCAACTTTACATTCGGCACAATGTGCCGGATTGGATGTCATCTTCGTTGTCTTTCGCTGTATCTCGCTGTACCCGTCAGGCCTGCTACTCGATCGACGCTCGCTGTGGTATATCCAAGAAGATGTGGTATTTTAGTGACGAGTGGTGGGGTCTCCAGAACCCATGTACGTCAGCGGCCAATGCCGTTCATGGTTGCCGGCTGACGTGCAGCGACTTAGGTATGTCGGGCTCGAATCCAAACTCTGTTTACGATCGCACAATCGGACAGTGGCTCTGCTTCTGCTTCCATGCCTTTCTCGATTTTCTTGTCGTGTCCGCACATGATGGCATCGAGAGTCGCAGAACGCTGGAGAAAACGGACAGGAACGGGACGATTCTGCTCCAAGAAAATCTCGATCTGCATGCCGCGTCCATACCTGAAGGCTTTGAGCCTTGCACAATACTCGAGAAGAAAGGGTTTTGCAAAGGTTAATTAGTGTGACAAAATCTCAATTGCAATGATGGGTATACCTATTTTACAAGCAATTTCTCCCAAAAACAACCCAATCCTATGCGCCCTGGTTGGCCGCTGCCACGGCGCCCAGACCTGTTCCACCAAACGGAGAGTCGACGTTGTCCATCGGAGCATCAGAGTGACCATTTTCATCGTCGTCATCTTCGATCTCGATTGGCTCCGATTTGCTCTTCTCCGCGGTGCCATTGTTACCTGCAGGTCCGGCGCCATGGCTGCTGCTTTGTGGGCGGAGTTGGTTCGCTGGCGATTCTGCTGGTGTGCCATCTCCAATGCCATCCTCTTCTCCCATGCCGTTGACTTCCGGCCAAATGCGTTCCCAAAGAAAGACAACCTGTTGAAAAACTCCTTCGCACCGAAGAAGCTGCTCACGCCCACTTCCTGTAGTCTCGGCATTGGCGAGTTCATCAACGATCGCTCTGCATGCTTCCACGAACTTTGCAAACTCGCGTGAGGTCCAGTTGGGGATGAGTGCTTCTTGTAGTGCGGATATGTGTTGATCGTTGTTGCCGGCGCCGCCATTGGCGCGGAAAGGGGTTGGTTCGCCGCCGTAATTGACGCCACTGCCGGTGAGGTACGATGGGACGGAGTAGTTGGAAGCAGGGACGTTGGATGCGAAAGTCGATGCGTATTGCCAAGAAGCGCAGTAGCACTGTGCATGTCAGTAACATGGTGATAAGCTGCAAAGTAGAAATGACCTACGTGTTCAGTAGCCCAAAGTGCTACCATTCCTTCCAGTAGGGAGCTGCGAGATTCCGCCGAAGACGTCAGGAGGTCGACGTATGCCTTGGTGATGGGCAGAGGGGGCTCGTTGTCCGTGTGAATGCCGTATTTGCGCTTCGTGTTCTCGATGAAGTCGATCTCCTTGCGGAGATTAGATACCGTCGAGATTAGCAAATCGAGAGCGCGGAACTGGGTAGACTGTTTGCTGTCGGGCACGTCTGGTAGGCGCACTTTGCCGATCAGGTTGCCAATGAATGCTATCATCGCGCGTGAGATGTGCCCGTTCTGCCCGAGCCAGTGCGAAAGCGCTGGGGCTGATAGAGTTCCGCAGCCCGCGTGGCTCAGGAATTGCAGCTGGGTCGCTTTGGTGAACTTCTCCGGCCACTTGTTGAGCAGATGGTTGACCAGGGATGGATTCGGGCGCTGCGGGGGCCTCATATGATTCACGGCGCCGTTCGATGGGCGGTTGCCAACGAGAAGGTTCGGGTTCGGCCTGCTGCCCCTCCAGATATCTGCTCCAGTCGCTGAGTTGTTGTATGGAGTCGGTCCTGGTGCCGACGGTGCGAGTTCGAGCTCGCCTGAATCGACTGCGTGCTGGCCCTCCGGAGAGTTGAGGAAGTCCTGGCAGAGCGCCAGGTGCTCCACCTGTCTCGTCGTGTTCTTTGCGCGGACGAAGCCGCAGCTTTTGCATCGCACGCGCATGCACTTTTGCCTGGTCAGCATGTTGTTTTTCCACCAGAGCGTCGACGTTTTCTTGAGGTTCTTGTTCCTCTGGCACTCTCGAGAGCCGGGACGGAGCCCAGCTCATTTCGATGTGCCTGGATTTTGGCCTGTACTTTGCGGGCCTCTTGAAAGGCTTGAAAAGCTTGAAAGACTTGAAAGACTTGAAAGGCTTCCAGCCGCAAAGAAATGATTGTCGACTTACTTTCTGCCCGCTGGTGTCGTCCCAGAATTCGTCGAAGTACTGTTGGTTCGAATTGTCAGCTTGCGATCGATGTGCATCTGTCACTACGCTGCTCGTCACCTTGGTGGTGTCCAAGCCCCTCGTACGCGCGACGGGCGTCGCGAATTGTTGTGGTGCATATGGACTGCTGTGATAACCGTGAGCGGCACTGTGAAGCTCTGTTAGACACTGTAATGTTGCGCGTGGATACGATACCAAGGCCGACCCTGGCCCGTGCAAGATTTCGGTAAAACTTACTCGCCCTCCATCGCGTGCCAGCCGCCCATGTCGGAGTCGCGCTTGTTGTACTTATTAGGGGGCGCTAAATCCTGTCCGTTTCCTGCTGCTCGCCACTGCGCGTACTGCGTGCAATTCAGGAGATGGGCTTTCTTGCGGTTGAGTGTCTTGATGGAGCCTGTCCAGTTGCGGCAGTGGATGCATTGCACTGTCTCGCCCTGGTGCTCACTTTCGACGGGCTCAAATTGCGCGTGAGTGTAATTGTCCGGTGGTCGCGGCATGGTCGTGTCGGGAGGGCAGGTGCGCAAACGATGAGTTCAAGACTGAGTGCAACGACCAAGTGAATGCTGTGAACGCGGCGGTCCTATTGCTGCGACCGCGTCTCAAAGCGTTCGCGATCCAAATGCTGATGACAACGCGTCGATGTCGGATGGACCGGCGGTGATTATGTCGAGATTTTGGAAAGGATACTGCGACGGGCAAGCTCAAAATGAGCTGATTTGGCGCCGGCCAAGCCTGCCGCCTGGCAAAACATGCGGGACTATTAAGAACACACCCGTCAGGCGGGGTCCTATATCGGCTTGCTTATTACGCAACCTGAAACCTCACATTGACCGTTACGTTGGCTATGAAGATGAACATTTGATGCAGGAACATTTACATACGCTTCGAGAGTCAGCATATCGGACACCCCGACCGACAGCGACACCTTCTGTGCACGCGGAGCAACTTCTTGCCGCTCGCCAGGACCTCGAACGCAGCCGGCAGCGACATTGACCGTAGCTTCATACCGGAGAAATGATATCAGGGCAGGAGGGACGTGAGGAAAGCACGATGTCACACCGCGGAAGCAGCAATACCCTGCTCTACCACATCGCTTCACTTTCATGCAGATGCGCGCATACGACTGCATTGGGTTCAGGAAGACACTTGCTGGCTGGGTCGGATACCATAAATTGACTGTTTACATAATCCTGATGCCGGAGACATCATATCTGCCTCCCGCTGCATCGCATGTCATCAGCTACGCAGCTTTTCTGCAATCTGTCCGACTTCTTCTGCTGTGGTTCTTCGTCCACGACAGCTCCCAGTCGCTGCTCATCGAATGGACGCCGGCAAAGGTCCTTGTTATCTGTAGAACACGCGACAGCCCTAGAGAGACAAACGATCGACTATGGCAAGATTCAGAGCTCCACAGCTAGCCAAAGCAGCGCCCACTGCATATGTGATTGACAATGCCCACCGCACCATGGCAGATTTGTCTTTACATCGCGGATTCCCTTGTTCATGCTCAGCACTTCAAGTCATTGTAGCGGATCTGCTCCGCACGAGTCATCAATATCGTTTTGCAGGCGTGCATGAACTGTAGCACGAGCATTTACATCAGGCCGGACGGATCTCGTTGAACATTCCAAGGGTTGCAACGTCGGACACCCGTGAGGCGCAAGAAAGCGAAAACTGGCGACCAGGCAGGACGTCTGTAGTATCTCACCAAAGCTGGCAGTGGCATTGCTGGTGTCTCCGTTGGCTTCGCGTCCACAGCGCAGCATGTGGAAGACGAGACATCGTAGCAGACTCGAACAGTATCGATGGAGGTCCGCCTCCTTTGATATAACACTTCTCTGGCGCGATTCTAATCGCCTTTCGTTCTCGTGGCTTGAAACGATGGCACTGCTAGCCTGTTGTTCGAGGAAGCCCAGAACGATGATGCTGCGCACCAATGGTGTTTTCGTGGTCTTTCCGGTCTAGCAAGTGAAGCAGCGCCCGTTGCGTGAACTGTTTGCTGTCTCGAACTAGCTGCATCAGCGCGAAGCAGGTGCCTAATGGTAAGTTGCCCTCGTGAACACTGCGGCCAATCGCGAACACACATACCATTTCCACCACAGCAACAACAACAACACCACCAGTACGTACGTCGCCAGAAATTCAGAGCTTGGTGATTCGCAGAGACTGTTCACTAATGCTTTGAAACAGCAAAAATGAACTTCATCCACCGCGCCGCCGCCCGCTGCTTCGCCGTGCTCTTCGTGAGCGCAGATCTCGGCCGCCGCGCCGAAAAGGCCATCGTGCCAAAAAGTATGTAATGCTTCTGAATGTCCACGAGGAGTTCTAAAGGGGCGGGTTCGCTAATCATGGGCGCAGTCAACAAAATGCTGCAAGAGAAGAAGGCCGAGAAGGAGGAGAAGGAGAAGAAGATGTGAGTGCTCCCCTGCATCGATGGGCCTTTCTTCGAGGATCATTATACTGACAGTGCTTCTTCGTGTAGGGAGAAAAGCGAAATGCTCGAGCGCGCGTTCTACGAGATGATGATTTAGCAATTGTATAGGAACCAGAAAATGCAAATCTTCACTTACCTACAGTCTACTCGTCTCCATTGTCTCCATTAGCTGGTAGCATTGCATGGCACCAGGGCTCAATTTCACCTGTTCGCAGCTAAGAGGAGTTCGTCAGGGTCGAGCGCATGCAAGCTTGACTTACAGGATGCATCGCTTCGCAAACGACATACGAAGTGTTGCACGAATAGCTCACCGCGGCCGGAAAGCCAATCGAGCTCACGTCCACAGCCACACCTGTCTCTCAACGACAATGCTTGTGAGAGCCATCTAGCCGCCCTACAGTGTGGAATACACAGACTGGACGTCCCGGAGAACTGCGCATATTGGTGGTGGCAGTATATTCCTGTTGGCTCTGCGGTTGAGAGCTTTATCGGCACGATTGGGAGCGCGCATGCGCCAGAAGTGGGCTCTGCACTGAGAACACTCCACCCCACATTCGCCTAGAACTGCTAGCTGATGGGTTATCGGCGGGCCCGTCTGGCGTAGCTTTGGTCCTGCAGAGAAGTTTTCTGGAAGGGGGACCCTGACCGTGGATTTGTGAGTCGACGAAAGTCGTGACAGGATGTCTCGGAGACGAGGTTCTTTGTCGTGATCAGACTGGCAATCTTGACTGGATGGAAAATGTGCAACAAGTCTCAGGGAAACGAGAGCGAGGGAGAAAGACGGGAGGGACTGCAATGGACAGTTCGGAGGGCAGCAGCGAAAGTATGAGATAAAAATGGAGCATGGTCCAATCATAATATGCGCGCAAAACTTCCGCCGCTGGGTACATGCCACTCCAACACGTGCACCGCGAGCTTGACCGCCAGTCGTCGATCTCTTCACCTGCGCAACAAAGAGCTGGACGAAGCACAGCAATACGGCGTGCTACCAGAGTGTCTCGTACGGCAGCAGACTCGTGATGACAGCTCGATCACACCGTCCCGCAGCCCTGTCGAACTCCCGCGGACTGTTTCTGCCCAGACAAAGGATCGCCGCAAGCTCCGCCGACCTGATCGGGCAAAGCAGACGTCGATTGGAAATTATTTTTCTTGTCGTGCCACCTCAGCTCTGTGCTCGGTGTTGCTGCTGCTGCGCGCTGCCGAACGAGCAGACTCGCGTCGCCGGCAGAAGCGTAAGTGACGAGCCATCATCCCACCACAAACTCCACCAACGAAGCACGCAACCCTCCGCGCCAACACAATCGGTGCGAGAGACAATTTTCCCGCGTTCTGTGCCTCTTGCGTATGCCTGACTCTTGTTGTGCCTATCTGCTGGATCTGACAATCTCTTCCCACCAATCCCCCCATCCCACTCACGCATCACATAACTCCCTCATCCTCCGCCCGCTCCCTCCTGCCGCCCTTCTTCTTCTTTTCTTCTCCTCGCCATGTCTGGCGCACCCCCCTCTTCCCACGTCAACGCAACCCACGCCGCTCAGCAGACCCCGGGCAACACCACCAACAACGCTGCCGACGTAGCTTCGACCTCCGCCCATCCACCTCCCAACGCGCCCGACCCGACAACGAGCAACAATGCCGCCCAAAGAGGACTCTCCACCGCCGCTGCCTCCAGTTCCACCGAACTCGCCAGTCTTAAAGTAACCCTCAAGTCCTCCCTCCGCCAGTTCCCCGACTTTCCCTCCCCCGGAATCCTCTTCGAAGATATCATGCCACTCTTCAGCAATCCTTCTCACCACAACTCGCTCATCACCGCACTCGAGCTGCAATTCCGCGAAAAGTTCGGCGCAAACCACGGCATCGATGTGATCGTCGGCCTCGAGAGTCGTGGATTCTTGTTCGGTCCTACGCTGGCCATGAGACTAGGCGCAGGATTCGTCCCTGTGAGAAAGCAGGGCAAATTGCCAGGAGAGTGTGTGACAGAGGGATACCAGAAAGAGTACGGGACAGATTGGTTTCAGATGCAGAAAGATGCGATCTCGCCGGGACAGAAGGTGGTGATCGTCGATGATATTATTGCTACAGGTGAGTTCTGGTCATGTTCCAGTATACTGAGGAAAATGTGCTAATTGCATACGTCAAACAGGTGGCAGCGCAGCAGCAGCAGGAAACCTTGTACAGCAAATTGGAGGCCAACTGGTCGGATATGTCTTCATTATGGAGTTGGACTTTTTGAAGGGCAGGGATAAATTGAACGCACCGGTGCACACTCTACTCAGCGGTCAGGACGAGGCGTTGCAGAGCTCAAAGTAAGATTCTTTTGGCAGGCTGCGGACCGTGTTTCGGACGAGCCATACAGCAAGAGCAAGGAGCGAAACGGCAGGAGGGTTGTCACGAGCAGCGGCAAGATCCTTTGGGACATGAGAAACGAAGAACAGCATTTACGCTTTGCGCGTGAGACACTCTGTGGATGTAATAGAGCAGAAAGCTGGTCGACGATGGGCACGGCTCGAATGAGTCGCAGGTGGACTCAACACACACCATCGTATGCTATGCTATGCTATGCAATGGGCAAGGCAGACCGGGTGGCGGTACTACCAGCCATACAGCTTCGCACTTTCGCAGAATTAGACAGTAGACTCTGCATGCCACTCTTCCAAGCAAGCCCTTGCTGCTTCGGAAGCCTTTTTCCTTCCAACACTACAACGAACTCGCGACATCAGCAAAGATCCATTGATGCTGATAGCAGACGTAGATGAGAATCTGCAACAGCTGCAGCTGTGTCTTTTGGCCACGGGCGTAACTGTTCAGCCACTGGAAAGACGTTCATAGCGATGCATATGTGTGGGGTTGGGGATGCCATTTGCGTCGTGCACGGCAAGAGCGATTTCTGCTGCTATGCAAGATTGTTGTTCGAAGAAAGACTTCGGGTGGATTATGCGGCGCTTGACCATTGAGCATCTCATCTTCCGGAGCCCTTCGTAGCTCGTATGTGCTGACTACACAATCATCGCCGCAACGTCCAGCCAGCTCTTCCTCAGCGGCAATGAAAGAAGTAGTCGCCGGATTCTGTTCTGGCCAAAAGCCTCCCTTGCGCTGCGTTTTCCAGCATGAGAACCCCTGAGCCTGTGGAGTTGTTGTTTGGCATCATCCTCCCCGCTGTCCACAATAGCTTGTTGCCAATCTCTTCCTGGCATAAAGCGCACCGGCAACATGCGCCTTGGTCAAGACGACCATTCCTGACTGCAGACTGCATGATGGATGGACCATCCTGGAACTTCCATCCCGCTTGAGTTCTCTCTGCCTTGGTGGTCGCTTCCTGGCCCTCAGCGGCGCAAAGGAAGATACCCCATAATGTCCCCATATACAATGCTTTCCATGCTTCGACCGAGGAATCGACGAGCAGCCTCGCCCAAGTAGCGGAGAATCAATCCCCATCACTCCCTGCCCTGTTCTCAATTCGCATCGCTGCAGTGCGCAGAAGCTCGATCCCACCTCCGCCGCGACTTAGGAGAGTCGAATTCGTTGTCCGATCGATCATTCGCAGGGGAAAGGTCCGTCTGAGGCTGGAAGTGGCATGGCATGCTCGGAGTCTGATGTGGTGTACTGTGAGTCTTGAGTGTCCATGCGGAAATCTGAAGTGTGTGGACAGACTATTTGGGATGTGCTCTACCAAAACCTCGATTTCTGCGGCCATCGTCAGTCTGTACGGCGGTCACAGGCTCGTTCTATGGCACATGAGTCGAAGGTCCGGGATCGTTTGACATGGCGACTGAGCTAAATCTGGTCTAGCAAAGGAGGCTCTGAGGGACACATCGTGGGTAGACAGTCGACCTACACTGACGAACAGTAGAGACACTGTTCTCGTACAAAGAGAGGGCATTAGCAAGGTCAGGAAATGAGGTGCTGGGCTCATCCTCGACATCTTCTTTCCCTGGCAGACCTGTACTTGGCATTCGCGGGCAAGGTGTAATGTGGTATGGAGAACAACAATTTGTGCAGTGGCTCATGTGTCCATCTCACACTCCCATCTGCGCGATTACTGGTGTCCTATTGCTCTTGACTGCTTTCGCTCGGCCATGATGCCATGAACCCTCGTCGCCCTCGCATGCCACCGCTCGCTGTGCTCTTCCTCATACTCGTGCCGGCAAGGAGTGGGAGGGAGACTGAGGCCGGAGGGTCAATGGTCAGAAGGTTGCGGCGCTGGCATGAACCAGGGCAAGTGAGATCGTTGAGCTCGGCGTGCGTGCAAGAGCGGTGGTTTGGCGGTCAAAACTGAGGGCAGTCGGGGCGCGCATGTGAATGGCAACCACGTTCCGTATGCTGCAGTGAACGATGGTATGCAGGTACGATCGATGTCAGCGAGTTGTTTCCATCAAACCATCACCGTCTGCGTGTTCGTAAGCCTGCGAAAGGCCTGCGAGTGCACTGTGGTCGGTCTTCCCACTGGAGGAAGCGGTCGCCAAGGCAAGTCTGCGCGGGAGCTACCGCCCTGCCCTGCCCCGTCCACTTTCCAGCCGCCAACTTGCGACGGTCACTGCCCGCGACATCATCATCACCACCATCGTCCTCACATCCAGTCCACCATCTGCATCACTGCGCCGGTGGACTCATATCACTCGCGGCGAGCGCCGCCTCCCCTTTCACTTCATTCACCCCTACTGCATCGCACTGTGCGCCCCTGCGCAGCACAGCCGTCACGATGCCCAAGCGCAAGCGTATGGAATCGCTCGAGTCGGTGCTGGCCCGTCCGGCCTGCTACTACTGCGACCGCGACTTCGATGACCTGAAGATCTTGATTGACCACCAGAAAGCCCGTCACTTCCTGTGCCAGGCGGGCAATTGCAACCGCAAGCTGGGCACCATCGGCGGACTGCGCATCCACATGCATCAAGTGCACAAGGAAGAGCTGCAAGAAGTGCCGAATGCCATGGAAGGCCGCAACAATCTCGCCCTTGAGATTTTCGGCGAGCTCGGTGCTCCCGAAGAGTGGAAAGAGGCGCGCACCGCAAGCGTCACACAGTATTACCAGGGCCTGGCCCGCAAGCACTACCTCGAGACCGGCAACCCGCTCCCTGGTCAGATCCCGCCAGAGGAAGCCTCCAAGCCCAAGCGCCCACGTCTCGAGGACGAGATCGCGTCGGGCAGCCTCAAGGCCCAAGTGCAAGCACGCAAAGCTGCTCGCGAGGCTGAGAGGGCCAAGGCCGCCGCCGCTGCCGCTGCTGGTGGAAGCCTCTTGACTCCTCCCAATGGCACGATGGCAACTCCACCATCCAGCATCACTGCCGCTGCGATGCCATTTCACCCAGCTCCCTTCGGCGCTGCCCCAACTCCTGCATCGCTGCCACAGGGCAGCTCACCAATGAATTTCACGACTCCAGCCGTCAACTCCGTCATCTCTCCACCACCCGGGCAGTACCCGGCAACTGGCTATGGTCTTCCTCCTGTGCCGCCCCCATCCAACGGTGGCTATCAGTTTCCGCCACAGGGCTCTCACCCGCTTTCGCTCCACCAACCTCTGCCCCAGCCTGTGCCACAGCCTGTCGTCGACGAGGCGGCCCGAAAGGCTCACGCTGAGCTGCAAACCAATGAGTTCTTGGCCTCTTTGGGCGCTTCACAGCAAGGTGACATCGCTCCAACTGCATCCGCGCCGACCACCCCTCAGCCGCAAGCCATCGCTAAGCCGAAATCCGTCGCCAAGGACGAGGACTTGAAGTTCAGCGATAAAGTTTGCAGCTGGGAAGAGAAGCGGTATCGTGCTTTGGGATATGGTCTTAACACTGACGCCGCCGCGGGAATGCCTACTGTTGGAGCGCCAACCGACAACGCGACTGGCACTGTCGACCAAATTTCTGTATAGTATCCAGGAGATCCGGTCTGCTGTTTCGGCCCTCCCTGCTGTTGGCCTGATGAGCACAAAGCCGTCACTGCCAAGTCTTCTGCTCCGGCTGCTGTGGGAGTGCCAATCAACGATGCTTCACATGGCAATAAGTACAAATTCAACGGCAAGAACCCGCCACAAGGAAATGAAGAGGTCGCTGAGTTTCTGGCGGATATCAGGGCCACCGGAGGTCTCATGTGCATCGGCATCCTGCCCATCAGCTTCAGTGATCCTGTCGTTCCGGCTTCACCACACTTCCGACCAATCGAGGAATGGTCGCAAGAGGAAATCCAGAGGCTTGCTGAGCTCCTTCAGAGCGCCAAGGCCGCCGACGGAGGCTGCTGATCCGATCCCTTGTCGTTGCGTCAGCAGCCCCGTCGCGAGAACGCCGACTAAACACCCCTCTGAGCAATCAGCTAAGTTGCAGCGACCCGACATGACGACTCGTCACCCAAGGCTGACACAACAACCACGAAGGCTCCCACTTGGAGACATGAGACCACGCGGCCTCGAAATTCGATGGAAGTTGGAGAACAATGGCAGGCGCAAGGTTGACCAGCTAAGTCTAAGCTTGCTTTCACATGGCTGCCACTGACACGGAGTGATACTCACTGACGGCACAACATCACGGTGCACGCAGCCCTCCTGTCCGGGCACGTATAATTCCCAAAATACACAAAAAAAAAGCACAGCGCAATTGAACCGCGCAAGGTATGCGGCTCATACACAGGGACACGGCACGGTTTTCGCTCGAGCGATGGAAGAACAGTACCCCGGACTTGCTCTCATGTACTCCACGAGATGCTGCTGTCTTGCCACACATGGTGGCAAAGACCGGAAGCAGAGTGGCTTTTTGTAAGTGTGTTACCGCCATGAGCAATCAAAGGTAACTGCAGCAAGCAGAAGCGTGAGTGGCTTTCATTAGTTCAGAAAATTCAGAAAATACCAAATGCAGTAACGACTTGAAAAATCCGCTCTCATTTCGACGTGATGTATCTGTCTACTTGTTGATGTTTACTGCGGCCATCTGCAACTCCAACTTCTCTCTCTCCAGCTGCTCGATGTACTGCTTCAGCTCGTTGATTTCTGGCAGGACGGCTTTGATTAGCATAATGATTTCAGAAGCAAGCGATTTCTCGACATGAAGCGGATGCCACTGGCACGTCAGGGGGAGGAGGCTTACGGGCGAAGTTCTGCTCGTCGGTCTGCTTCTTCTGCTCAATGAGCTCGTTGATGGCTATCAGGGCGGCTTTGATTAGCATGATGATGCAGAAGCAAGCGATTGATCTGCATTGAGCGGACGTCACAAGGGTCAATGGGAAGAAACTTACTGCCGTCCTTCTGCTCGCTCTCTGCCTGGTAGTGGCTGGCCCAGGCACTGGTGCGGACCAGCTCGTCCTGCACCATTTGGTATTGGCCGCGGAGGGCCTCGTTCTCGATGCGGAGCTGCGCGAGCTCACGCACGTCGCGCTCGCGGTCTCGGCGGCTGCTCATTGTTGTGGTTGTTGGTGGGTTGGTGGTGTGGTGGCGCGGTGGTGGTGCGGAGCGCGGAGAGAAGAAGAGAGAGAGGCGGAGAGTGGTGGTGTGGTGATGGAGGTGCCGGAGGCTCTCTTCTGGTGGTGTGGTGGTGGTGGTGCAGCGATCTCTCTTCTTGTGGTGGTGGTGGTGGTTGCTGCTGAGATCGTTCTGAGGGGAGGGAACGAAGAAAAGGGCGGCGAAAGGGCAATTTGTTGGCGTGTGGGTGCTCATGCAGGTCAAGGAGCTAGCGGCGGGCGAGAGCATGGATGATGTGAAGTGAAGCCTGAGGTGAAGCGAGGAGAGACCACGAGTTGGGAGCGCACGACTACACACGCTTGGTTCCTGGACGCCGAGCAGAGTCTATGCTCATCAGGGTGAAGAAGAGATGGCAATGGCATCGATCGTGGACGGTGAAACACCGCATGGGTATGATTATGGACAGCGAAACTGGTATTCGTGCAACTTGGCTGATCGCAGAGCAGAGCAAACGAACTCGGTACATCGCCAGATAAGCACCCCTCCGCATCGAGCAGTGTGTCCGAGGTCTTCGATAGCGATACATACGAGCAAACCTCTTGATTTGGATGGCAGAAGCGACGCGCGCTCGACAGCAGCGACTCGACGGACGCAGCTATGGCGAACGATGGTCATCCCCGAATGGCAGACTACTCCACACCACCCTGGACGCCCACGAGTAACACTAACGACACGGTTATCGATTCTCGGATACTTCGACGGATGGCTTTCAGCGTATGCGACTGGCGAGCTCTGAATTGCGCTCGCAGTACATTGGGACAAGAGGACGTACTTGAACAGAGCTGAGAAGGTCCATCGACGCGCCAGCCCCTTGGCGGGAGCAATGTGAGTGCGAGCGGCGCGCAACGACGTGGCTGGCAAAGGGGACAAGACTTGAACAGACAAACTACTGTCGACCTCTGAGGGAGCAGGCACCTGATCGATCATTCGATGTGGAATTGCATACGCACCAGCATTGTCATGTTGTGGGCTTCGAATCAAACAGCAAAAAGTGAGTCGAGGCCGGGGCCATATTCAGTTTCATACAGAATTATCTTCATGCATTGGATGACTCATCAGATCGAAGGATGCGGGCAGGCAGCAAAGGCTTTAGGAAAAGCGGCTACAAGGATATGATCCTATAGTACGTTTCTGTATATCTACTGACAACTATCTTCGTAACTTCTTGAACAGATAGTCCAACTGCATCACGATCCACTGCTTGGACGTAGGCCATGAGAACGACAAGATCCGCCTCTCGGGCGCCAAACAACGAGATCTCGAAAGACCGCGTTGCAGCGCCAGGGCCTAGCAGGACGATGAGCGTCCCGAGACACATGAAAGCCAGCGTTGTCTCAGCGTATCTCGACGAGTCTCAAATCGAGGGGAAGATTCGTCGACTGTCGAAAGCCGACCAGCAGACTCTCCGCCTCAAGCAAGTCAAACTCCGCCAGCCTGATGCGCAGATTCCTCGATTCATTGAATCCAACAAGACGGCATCGCCGACGCTTGCTGAAGCAGTCGCCGCAACCCTCCTCTTCGTCTGGGAAGGCTCGTCGACAGCCTTCTGCATCTCCCCGACAGGCCTGTTGTTGACTTGTGCGCACTGCATAGCCGAAACCCCGGCCGAATACAATCGCACCAAGAACCAAACACGTTGGCTTCTCTTCGCTTCTGGCGACCCAGTACAGGCAAAGCCCGTTGCATTCGATTCGACACGCGATCTGGCATTGTTGCAGATCACAGCGGCTCCATCATCCTTCAGATCAGAACCCTTCCCATACGTCCGACTCTCGTCTTCACCTCCCAAACTTCGAGCTCCGCTGTTCTGCATAGGAAGCCCTGGAGCCGAAGACCTCGAAGCGTTCGATGCCACTGAGGGTGTTGTGGAGACGGGCTATGATGTCTTGCACATCAGTGACGGAAAGTTTCGAGGTCTGGATCGTGCGCAAGATGTCCAGGATAATTCGGAGATTGGCGCGCTGAAACACGATTGCTGGACGTATTGGGGCCATTCAGGTGCGCCGTTGATCGATGCCAACAATGGAGGACTGGTTGGCGTCCATTCGAGCTGGGACGATGAGACCGGCATGCGGAGAGGTGTGGCCTGGGAGGCTGTAAAGGTGTTCCTGGAAGAAGAGTGTCAAGCGGTGGAAACGGAGAGTGCCGCCACTGCGGAAGACCAAGTCCGACGAGCAGGTGGCAATTCAGACGATCCCATTGTCTTGTGAGCTCTAAGACTTGGGTCGAAAAGCGATGAACTCAAAATCCATTCGCTGTGATGGGCGTGGACTAGTCTTTACCATGTCCGTATATTTTTCCAGTTTCTCGTCTCCATGGTGTCTCTTGATGTGTTTCTTCAAATTATCGATCCTGGCCAACTTTTGCTCGTTTACTGGACAATAAGGACAGGCAATACCTTTTCCGCCATGCTTGACGGATCTCTCCTCGTGTCTGTTCCGGTCGCTAGGACGGCGGAACCGTTCATTGCACACTGGTTTTCTACAGGGAAAGTCTCTAGTGGTCTTGTGACTGTTCTGATGTGAACTGGACAACGTTAGCAACCAAACTGACAAGTGGGAAGAGAAACGGCCGCACATACTCCAGCTCGAATTTGCTCTTGAATGGTTTTTTGTCGCAGCCTGGAAAAGGGCATTTGAATTGTTTCGAACCTGAATCCGCTCTCCTGCCACCATTTCGTCCTTTTGGGGACTCCCTGTGTCCTTTCGGTGTTTTGGGCACTCTGCGTTGTGCTGAGGTCGTTATAGGCTCCCGCACGATAACGTTGCTTGGAAACGTAGGAGAAGACCCCCATATCACAGGACTACGATCGCTGCCAATTGTCCGTGTGTTCATCTCATGTCCAGCATCAGGACTGGCAACACTCTTTCCAAGCGATCGAGAACGAGCTGACACATCTGGTGTATCTGGTGTCACCGGGCGTTCTTCAGATGCTGGCCTTTCTGCCTGTCCCCTGGTATGCCCGCTTTCATACCTGCCATGCAAAGCGGCTGCTTGATCGTCGTATGCTCTGAACATCTGTGGCTCTTCGAGTGTGGTCTCCTCCATCGTAATGCTTCGAGGTGAGTGAGAGAGAGCTGGAACATCGTCCAAGTCAGGCGTAGCCGTACGAAATGTTTCTCCAGAGCGTCCTTGCAACAAGGCTGGAGGCGTTTCTCCACGGTCTTCTTGCAATAAGGCTGAAGGAGGTTCGGACGCGAGACGACCTGGTCCCAACCCTAACGACTCGAGGCCAGGGTCGTTGTCACCAGGCCCAACCTCCTTGGCGGTTGAATCATACATGTCGTCGTTGTCAACTGCCGCGACCTGACCTATCAGCACAGGTTCGATCTTTTCCAAGCCTTCTGCTTCAAAAAAGCCTTGAGAGCCATCGCAGTCATCGCTGTAGGGGGATTGCATCTTGAGACCAGCAGAGCCGTCGGCGCGAGGCTTAGACGTTGCGCGTGCAGCAAGGCTGCAGCCTGGCGGATACCCGTTTGCTGTACAAGGCTGAGCACTAGTATCGGATCGCGTCTGTGGATCTTGGAGCTCGGGAAAACGTCGATGTCTTCGGAAAGGCAGGATGTCAATGTTCGTGTATCGACATCGAGAGTCCAGGATTGCGACGGTCCTGCGTGCTCAGCTCAGCTGGGTAGGCGCTATTAGCTGAGGCAAACCGGTCAGCAGGGTGACCAATAACGTGTCGATACGCCTTCTCTTGTCTTCGTCGCCGCAGCTGCCAAGACGGATCAACATGAGTACTTGTGTCTCATGTAACAACGCCACGCTTCGTTAGCCATATTCTCATCGTCAACTCAACGATTGTCTGCCCCAGGCAGAAATAGATTGCTCGAGGGCCTCGAACAGCTTCATGCAGCAATCTACGCTAGTCCCGTTAGCCATGAGCCATGACGAGACCAGGCAGCCGCTACAGCTTTTATCGATAAGAAGATGTCAACAAAAGTGAATCCTTCGACACGCTTAGCTCCTGTGCCACTTGTAGAGACTCGCACGATGTGATGGTCCTTCTTCTCCTTCTTCTATTTCGTTGATCTGAACATCATTTTCAGCATGGCTTCGCAAGTATCGTCTTCCGAACCTGCCCCGCCACGTCGATCAGCTCGGAATCGCCACACGGCATTGGAGGATCGCAAACCTGCGGAAACCCGTCAACGAGCTCGACCCAAAGCATCATCTGCACGAAGAAAGACACAAAAGCCTGCCGATGAGCCATCAACACCGAGACCAGAAGAGAACATCGACGAAGATGACCTCTGCCCAATCTGCCAAGTCCTCCTGTATAGGCCCGTGACAACACAATGTAACCACACAATGTGTGAATCCTGCATGGCGCACTGGGCCGACGTCTCCGTCAATTCCCAAATGAAAATCGTCGACGTCGACGAAGAACCCCAAACATTCGATGCTGTATCCGGAATCGAAGCCAAGTGTCCAATGTGCAGAACGCAGACCACGGCATCGTACAATCCAGATCTTGCAGCTCGCCTGGGCAGAGACTATCCCGCGACGACACGAGAGCGCAGCGTAGAAGAAGCGGATAGTCTGGGCGAACAAGGCAGCATCCAGACTTTGACAGTGTATGTTGGGAACCGCCATCGATACATCGCCGATGCGGAGACGGCGAATTGCCATGAGTGGACGTTCTTCGTCAAGCCCAGTCGGACGGATATCATCGAGGAGGTCCAACTCGTCCTTCATCCCACTTTCCGCCCGAATCGCGTAATCCGACAACGCGCGCCGTATGAGGTTAAACGCCTCGGCTGGGGGACGTTCGCTGTGACAGCATATGTGATATTGAAGGCCGGGTACACATGGGTTTCGTCGGAAGCGGAGAATAGTCCAGATGGGGCATAGAAGGGAATGTTGCCGCTGGAATGGATGTTGGATTTTGAAGGCTTTGGCGGAAAGGGTAGTATGGGCGGTGTGAGATTGAAGGTGAAGAATGATAGGGAGTGGGATGGAAGTGTGAGTAGTGAGGAAGAGAGGGACACGAGGGAATGGGAGCGGGTTGTGAGGAGCTATCAGAGGGACGGCATTTATGAGCCGCCGCCGGAGGAATGAGGGACAAGTGGGGATCTGATTTGGACCTGGGGGTAACATTTCAGCAGCCAGGATGAGCATAGAAGTTCTGCGCTGGTGCTAGATGTTGTGCAGCTCGAAACTCGAGTCGACGACCAGTTCTCGCCTCAACGGGCTGCCTTCTTGCACCTTTTCGTGAGGCTCAGACCAGAGTCCATACCTCTTCGATCCCTCAGCCAGCTGCTCTGGCAAACCAATAGCTTGCAGCTCCGCGATGGCCGCCTCCAATTCCCTTGTGGCCTTGGACACGTTCGCCACGAATGCGCCCGTCTTGCACTTCCGGAAATTCTGAATGGCCTCGCTCAGTCGCGCTCGCGGTCCCTTCAGCGCTCGGTCAATAATACAAGTCCTGCAGTCGGTCTCCATAGAGAGGTAGATGACCGGCTTGTTTCTGCCGTAGCAAGCAGTTACGGGCGCTTTCGTAATCGGATCATGAATGTGTGTGACTCCGCGACAATGGCTCAGGCCTATCATGTCCCCATGACCGCAAGCGTATTCCAGGTAGCGGTTGTTGCACATTGCCAGCCAGTTGTGGTATTGATGTTTGATTTGTGTAAAATCTCCCGAAGATCCCCCAAATGCAAGTGAGCAGCTTGCTTATTCCGCGCCGAAGTGAATGTCTCCAGCCATGGCTTCCGAGCGCAATCTCGAAAGCATTCACTGAAGGTGGTCGGTGTGCTGATATGTTTGCCTCCAAGGTACCTTGCAAGTGGTCGGGAAAGGTCGGGTATGAGAATTGTTTGCGGAAGGTTTGTACACCTCATAGTACAGCGCCCATTGTGCAGTATATGCTTCGTGAAGTCTTGCGAATGTGGCGGAAAGAAGTCTCATATATGAGATTCACTTGCACCATGTTTGTACTCTGGTCCGGGGAAGTGTTCGCGATGGAAGTCTTTTCCGCATTCGGCATATCCAATCTCTGGCTGAAAAGTTCTAAATCTGTCATCAGTGCGGTACTCTTTGCGACTCCTATCAGTGGCACATCCGTCTATACCGCGCAATGGTGCTATGGAAGTCGTGCTCGCTCCTGCTCGTAGTGTCATTGTCGTTTGCATGCTGACATGATTGGAAGATCTATACTGTACTCTGTCATCAACATCTGCAGAACGTGATAGTGCCCTTACAATGGAAAGGTGATGTTGAGCCCGGTCCAACCGACATACCCTCTCTTGCCTATGCGACGTGGGATATCGCCACCCACGCTTTCCTATGGTGTGCTGACAGGAAGGTATGAGCGTGGGCAGACGGGAAGGTGAGTGCTTCTTCACGGCAGTATGAACCGGCTCAAGCGGCAAGAGGTCGCATGGCTGCTACCCCGTGCCATTCGTCAATGGTATCGGATCATGATGTTCTTGAGTCACATTGGACATCGAGCACTGTCTAGGCCAGGACTCCGATGGACACAGTCACACAGGATTGACAGGGCGCAGAGTCCCTCCAGTTTCACGCTTATTATACCACGCAGCGGAATCGCCAAGGCCAAGCCCGTCAACTTAACCAGGCTCTTTGCTTCCCCTCCCGATATCGTCCAACTCTCACTGTTGCCGATATCGCTGATCACTCGAATCCTCGACTTCGGCGAAGTGAGCCCAATGTCCTGGCACAACAATGCCCCTTTCGACCCACCAGCACACCTCGCGGCTGGGCTGGTGTCGCCGCAGCAAGTGAGCTCACCGACGACCACGCTGACCCCGGACGGCGCAGCGGGCCCCGATCGCAAGCGCAAGCGAACATTGACAGCGCAAGAGCACGGTGATGGAGAGCACACCCTAGTTGGCGGGGCGGAAGATGGGAGAGCTTCGAGCAGTGGCACGCTGGCGCATAGTCCTGGCCAAAATGGCAACAAACCGCGTCACCAGCCCGGCGTGAAAAGAGCCTGCAACGATTGTCGACAGCAGAAGGTGAGCTTGATACGAGGAAACAGTGGAGCCCGTCACAAAAAGCCTATGCTAACTAGTACTCTTGACAGCTTCGTTGCAACGTCGTCGCTGGACCTGGCGAACAGTATAAACCGTGCGATCGATGCGTCAAGCATGGCCTCCATTGCAGCATCGATGACGGCTTTAAGCGACTCGGAAAGCGGGCAGCGCATGAGGAGATGGTCAAGGAGCTGGACAGGTGCAAGCAAAAGCTAGCGCGATACGAACAGCTGGGCATGTTTCTGCCAGAAGAAACTCCAGGCTCAGCATACATTGGCAGCTATCAGCCCTCGCCCGATGGAGGCGCTCCGGCCGCCGTTATGGGCAACACTGGATACGGGCTGGGCGCGAGCGAGGCTGCTGCATCAAGGAGCTTGCTCGATTTGAGCCAAGGATACCGCGAGCTCGTTCCTACAACCATGTCCTCCATTACTCCAGGCACATCGCTCACCACGCTCGGCGGCAACACCTTGACGGAGCAGCAACTCACCGACCTGTACCAGATCTACTTTGAGTCATATCACCCCTTCATGCCGGTGCTCAATGCCGATCTGAGCTACAAGGCCTACTATGATGAGCATCCGCTCCTGCACTGGACGATCGTCGCCATTGCGGCACGACGACAAGAATTCAAGCCGGGTTTGTTCATGGAACTTCAGCGTCCGCTGGAGGAGCTGCTCTGGACAACGTTATCGCAAGTACCACAGTCGTACCACGTCACCAAAGCTCTGGCACTACTCTGCACGTGGCCACTACCTACCTCGTCAACCAGCCAAGAGCCGACAATGATGCTGTGCGGCATTATGTTCCAGCTCGCTATGCAACACGGCTTGCATCGGCCTTCCCACGCACAAGACTTCAGTCGGTTCCGCGTCGACCTGCGGGATGAAGATGTGGCGGATCGACTCAACACCTGGGCCGCTGTGAACATCGTCGCCCAGAACGTCAGCACCGGTAATGGACAACCTCCGCTCGCGCGCTGGGCTTGGTTCACATATGGTCTTCATCTGGGCCGCATGAAGCCTGAGCTACACACACGTTGTCAGATCGAGAAGTTTAACGATACCGTCACGCGAACGTTGTATACCATGCAACGTGACCACATTGTCGAGGTTGACCAAGCTCAGCGCGGTCTGCAGATCGACATGTATGCTCGTGAACTGGGCGAACTCGAGGTGACTGTCCTGTCTACAGGCAAGCAGAATCAATCACGTAAAGGTAAGTCGACTGCTGGTATTTTCAAAAGCATCCCTGACATGTTTAGCAGCACTGGAGGTTCTCTTCCTCAAAGCCGCCGCGCTGCATCTTCGCCTTACCGCCTTCTTCGACAAGCCCAGCCAGCCCAATTACCACGTCGATCTAAGAAACCTCTATATCGCAGCCTCGGCCCTCCTCGAGCATGTTAGTGCCATGAGCACGAGTGAGTTCGCGTTTGTGCCAAGATACATTGAGCAGATGATGCTCGCTGCATCGGTGACCCTCCTGAAGATCCTACACTCTTTCTACGCCAAACATGTGGACAACACCTACGGCAAGACTCTCTTCACCCGTGCAGTGGCCGCACTGCGCAAACTCAGCGTGCGCAGCAATGACTTGCCCCAGCGGCTTGCAGAAGTCATGGCTCAGCTCTGGATCTCGAGCGGCTCAGGCGAACAAGACGTCTTCAAGACCGATCCCGCGCTCGACAGCGACGACGACACGCTTGCCCTCAAGGTGCGGTGCAGGTCTTCACTGTCAGTGCTGTACGACGCCATCTGGCGCTGGCGAGAACGCGCTGGACAAGCTGGGCGCGAGAACCTGGTCAACGACATCCAGAACCCTACACGCCTTCCCGACACCAGTCGCAACACTCCGCAGCCACCAAATGGGACCACTCACAACGCTCTTGCCGATGTCCACCTCACTCAGCCAAGCACCGGTCTGCAGCTGGGGCAAGCAAGCGACCTGGACGCACTGAATTGGGATCAGTCATTCGGCCCTAATGCTGTATTTGACCCACTCTCTTGGGCGCTGGATGGCAACATCATGGGCTTGACGAACCCGATGTTTGAGCCCAACGGCGCTTTGAGTATGCCCGGATACCCAGGTTAGCAACCTGGTCACTACGAGGATACTCTTCAGCCCCCATACTATTATCAGTGACAGCACAGCTACGTGGACGACTGATGAATGGTTATTTCACTGCAATTTCTATAAGCGACGGCGCTGGTTTAGAATGTGTGGTTGATTCGGTGGTTGGTTCTTGGCGGTGATGGGTTTCACTTCTTGCATGGCACATTCTGATCATGAGCATAGACTTTTGATTGTTCGGCGAATCGATTTTGAGAGACGGACGCGCTGAGAGGTGTCACAATTTGTCATGCTGCGGCTACTGCTGTCACGGATGATTGAGCTGAAAATACGTAGCATGATGAATCGCAAGGCTGTACAAATGTCAGGACTCCTCTAGTCCCCGGAGTCGTTCCACTCGGCTGGAGAGAGTGGGCCATAGAGCGGTTGCTTGTTTGGGCAAGCTGTCAAGTTGCGCGTGTTTCGGCTGTCCGCACGTAGCTGCGCGGATTCCTTTTCTTCGATTTGGCACCGGATGTCTTCAACGGCGTGCCAGATCGATGGTACTACAGATTTGGGCTCGTGCATCTGGCGCACGATGAGTTTTTCCGGCCGTTGAACATGTCCCGATGATTGTAGGTGGCTTGAGCTGGCCCCTTCTGTTGGAGATGGCCATGGTCTTGTCTTGGATCAATCATCAACGCACTCCATGGGATCGCAGTTCCTTGTCGCAATAGGTACTCCGGGAGAACACTCCACCGACACAACGACACCGGCGGACGCTGAGCCTTTCGAAGTTGAGTTTGTGGCACGACTCATGGCGGCTCGCGAAATCTTACTCAGCGGGCGGAACAAGATGCAGCCTCATTAGACGCCCGGCACTGTGACGGCAATGCTTCTTCAAGCTAACTTGTCACGGTGATGGAGTGTCTGGTCAGGTTTGTGATACGGTGATGACTACTGCCGCAGAGTCGCAGTCATGTATTCAGACTTGCTGTTGAAGCGGAGAAATTTTCAGGCCATCGCCTCGCCAATTTGCCTTGCGGAAAGCATGTCTGGGCAGCTGAGATCATGAGGAGGATATCAGACTTCCCCCAAGTGCGCAATATCGCTTTTCTGCGAGGATCTCACTGTTAGTGATCTCACAGCAAAAGAGCGCTGTGATTGAAGTACTTGAACTTTCTCCCTAACAAGCCGCTCTCAGCACGGGACGTTGAGTCAGAGGCATCAAGAGTAAATGTCAATAGGCTTTACCACCGTGAAGAGTAGCCTGCATGTAATAGCAAACGACCTCGCATGAGCGGTCTGCGCTTGAAACATGAGATACTCACATGCAGCTCAACGGGCGACTTTCGATGGCAGCTTTCATCGTTCCCTTTTCCTCGCAACGAACAACGACCGGCGGAGGTAGTGAGAGTCGCACGATCATCAACTCAAAGGCAGAGATATCTTATCGACACGACATTCCGAATCACGGCATAAGGAGTACACCAACAGGTTTAACGTAAACTCGCACACGCTGCAGCACCATCGCCATCCTTCAGTTGACGCAGATCCATCAGAAGACAACTCGCGAAGAAAAACACATAAAATGCCTCGCCTTTCATCGTCTTCGTCCTTTCGATTCCGACCCGGTTCTTCCACGACAACCACAGCATCGTCGACATACGCGCCGAACGACAATTTGCCCGGGAAAGCCCATGGGTTATTACTCCTACCACCACCGCCTACGCCTCCCAGCGCGTCCTCTCTCGCCTTCGCCTATAAGCCGGCTCTGAGAGCCGTCTTACCACAGATTCGTGGCCATGGACCTGATGCAGCTCTCGACATTGCGCCCCCTTCTGAGCCAACTAGTAGTCGACTACCAAAGATTGAACACGACCACACGGGCAGAGCAATTCAGCGCCGTTGCCGCCTTGGTCAGTGGTATCTACGAGCTGGCCAAATCGACTTGCATTGAACATGGCATACCGGACTGCGGAGCCAACGCGGTCGACGTCCGCGTACTGCTTGTTCGATACGATCCTGACGTGAAGCCCACGTTATGCCTCGACTCGCCGCAAGCTGAAGGACACTTTGACGTGGTCACTGACCTTTCTTCACTTGTAAGATCGCAACGACATTGGACGCAGCTTTTTGTGCCGAATACAGAGCCAGCAGCGCAAATGTTCAAGCAATTCCGCGCTATTGCCACTGCCTCTCTAGGATCTAGCATCTCTCGCGCTCAAATACTTTGCACGAGACCTGTCGTCGTTCCCGGTGGCCTTGTGATTAATCGTCCTTCGACCTCGGGTGGGCGGCAGCAACAGGAGGATCTTGAGCCAGACCGGCCTTATCATCGCATTGTTGCCATAGGCAATTTCAACAAGCTGGATGGCACGACTGGAGCCCTGCTTACCATGTCTGCTTTTCTGCTCGGCGAGGAAGATGAACATTCAGCAAGCTCGTCGCAGTCGTCCAGTCCTGTCTCGTCACCCTCCGACAGCTTACATCCCTTCGCGGCATGGGAAGACAACAAATCGGTCACAGACAGCACAAAATCTCGCCCGCGGAGTCCGCGTCCCCGGCGAGCAAAGCATGTTCGACAGCTCGTGCTCCGAGCAAATTCGTCGCTTCCTTCATCGGGATCTTCCTCCCCTATAGCTTCCACTTTTGCAAGCAGCAAGTTCCTGCGCCAACGCAACCGCAACCGAATCGGAGGAAGGAAGCCGACAGCGAAAGAATCTACCACGCGTGCCGGAGCGGAATTCTGGTACGATCGCGTTTTGTCCTTCCTCGAAGCGATTGGAAATTGCGATCACACGACCGAACCCGAGAGTCTTTTGGCTTCAGACGACACCTCTTCACCTCCACCTCTCAGAGCAGCAGAACGAACGCGTCCGCCATTGGGCCTCGTACACGCGAAACAGGACGGCAGTCATCATCTCGAGTCTTTCGCGCGGACGAACAGTATCGTGACGAAGAATGGCAGGCGAAGAGCGGTCACATTTGAGGTCGTGGATGAGGTGAGCAGTGGAGCTATTGGTGCTGGAGAAGAGATGAACATTGTAAGCTCAGAGGGTGAGGGTGTTGTCAGGTTCGGGACAAGCTGTAATAAAAAGAGCAGTGGGAGAACGAGGAGTGACAGTGCTGTTTCTGGCTTTGTGAAGGGGTTTGCAAATCTGTTGGGTGGGAGAGCAAAGGGAGAGAAGCCGAGTTTGGGTGACGGAGAGTTGGAGATATTGCTGGCAAGGTCTTGACGATACTGTGAGCGAAATCGTTGTCTTGATGGATATTCCGGTGAAATCGACTGAACTATGCGACTCGATAGACATCTTGCAATACCATCCGCAGTCAGATCAACGAAAGAGAGGCAAGTTCGCCAGAGTGGTTGTTCCAGACGCGTGACTGTGGCTCTGTGCTACGCTGCCCGCAAAACAAGACAAGGATTCGGGCGTTTGCACCCACAGCTCATTCCCCAGATACTTTGGTTTCTTTCTGGTTCGGCACTTTGGTCGTGGTGTACATGAACGAAAGCTAGACAAGAGGAAGAAGTAGGACGAAGGAGTCCTGCGACCAGGAATCCACCAGCGAAGGACTCGGAGATCGACCAACGAGTGCCAACAGCTGCCAGAATGTCTGTCACTCGCATGGTGCGAGGCGCTCGTCCAGGGCTCACCATGTTCACTCGTAGCACCGGGGAATCGCTTCAAGTTCTTGGGCTTCAACAGCAGCTCGACTTCAAGGCCCTCAACCCCTTGCAGAGCTTGGAGAAAAGGAAGAAACACGTCGTCAAGCTACCTGATTCACACTCACTGCATGTGTTTGCACATCCAAACATCATAGAACGCCGACAGTACTTCAAATATCCTACAGGAGAGCCGTACGACGAAGGACGAACCTTGAGGCGCACATGGAATTTCCAGGTTACTGCCATCAATCCTGCCCAGGCACGGAAAGCGCTGCTCAGATCGCGACCCGAAGACTGGTCATACCAGGAGGTTGCGACATCCGTGGGCGACGCATGCCGAACTTCACGCCCTGTCGACACCATCGATGCTTTGAAGCATGTGCTGGGTCTGGAGGACCACAATGAGACATCTTTCTTGCGCCAGAACTTCAAAGACTTGAAAGACCACAGCGAGATCTTCGCAGACCTTGAGCGCACGCGATCGATCTTTGATGTATCACTATTGGACGACGCGGAACAGGTAGTCCAAATTATCATAGACGCTTGGGGAGCGTATCTGGGTCAACGACAAACTGATTTCTGCTACTGTACAGCAGTGCTGCGGTCCTGTCGCTCACTTCAAGGTGTTCCTGCTGTCAAGCAAGATGCATTGGGTATCATCGGAGGCGAGACGGCGCTGCTCTCGCGAGTCCCAGAACTTCTACAGCGTATCGAGTTCGCTGACGACGAATTGAAGCAATTCATTGACTGGAAGAAGAAGTATACCAAGCGCCGAAATGCATTCCTTCGCGAGAGTCGCAGGAGGGTATGGCTTTATTAGCAGAAAAGAAGGCGATTTGACAGATGGCTGATGTGGCGATGTCAGAAATGAGCCAGACGGGACGAGGACATATATGCCTGCTTGCCTCAAATTTCAAAGCAATTGCCAGAAAGTAGCAACTCTGAGCAAGAGCGTTCGCGTGCGTCGCAACGGGCTGAACTGTCAAAGGAACACAAGATTGAGCTTGATGACCATGATGGAAGCAGATGAGCCGCATTGGTGTCAGGGCCTGGAGAGCGGATAGAAGAGCAAGGTGCGATGCAGCCCATGGACTTGTGGATGAGTCGGGTGAGGGCGTATATCAGCCAATAGGACCACTCGGAAGTTGGGACATGCCCAAGTGAGAGACCACAGTGAGCAAGCAAATTGTTTCTCGGTTCCTCTACCCACCACGTGTATGCAGTACAACATAACGCAGTAGCAAGGCTTGACGACCACCAGATGAGAGAGCCAAATCTAGTCCAGCAGCCACTCAGTATGATCAATGACAGAACATTTCCATCTTTGCGTCAAGACCAACACCAAGAGCCAAGCCGGTCCGAGATATCCCTTGGCAAGTTGGCACGCCTTGTTTACATAGCCAGCGTGCTAAAAGAGTTTCACTCTTGAGCCACCGCGGGCTTGACTTCACGACTGAAAGCTGGCGTCCAAGCCTGAAAGTCTTGTGAGCTTAGAAAAATGATCACATCCGCAAGACGCCCAGCTTCTCGTATTGCACAAGGACAAGCCTCCAAACGGAAAAGGGCTATATGACTCCAGTGAGATCCCAAGCTGCCTCGTGAGAAGCATTTTGCAGACACGATGTCGTGACGATGGAGCTCTTCCTTATTCTGCTGCTGGCTGGCGTGACTGCGGCACAAAATAACAAGTTAGTGAAAATCTATGAATGCATCCACCTATGTTCATTTCTGACTATCTATCCCAGCTCCACTTCCTCACAAGGCACAAAGTACTCGCAACCATACTCAAACAACACCCTCCTCTCAATAACCTTTCGGGACCCATCCAAAGACCTCAACAATGGCAAATACTGCACCTACGACCCATCCGGCGCAGGCGACAATTTCAACATTCAAATCACATCTTTCCCCACAACCGATCCGAATAACACTTTAATCTGCTTCGGACCCGGCTCCCTCTTCCCAATAGACAACTCCACCACCTCTCTGAACAACAGCACACCCACAAACCTCACAACCCTCTATCCAGGCCTAAATTACACTCTCCTTTCACCCGACAATTTCAACAGATCAGCAGATTACTCTCAACTTATGTACCAGCAAGGTGAAGCTGTGAGTACTCTCCGAGAAGAAGCGCTTATGGGACCTTTGGTGTTTCAAGTTTATAGTTCGGAGGATTGTAGTGGTGAGGTGGGTCAGTCTACGAGTTGGAGGTTTAGTTGCGAGAATACGAAGCCTACGTGTGAGACGACGCCTTATCGGTTGAGAAGTTTTTCGATAAGGAGGACGACGGCGATGGAGAGGGAGGAGGATCGGCCGGGGGAGTGTAAGGATGAGGTTTGGAGGAATGATGCGGGGGGTTTGAGGTCTGGCAAGAGTTCTGGGGTGGCGATATTGGTGGCGGCCGGTGTGATGGGTATTGTAGCGCTGATATGATGAATGAGATGGAGATTCAGGTACTGGCGTTTTTGATGTGAGTGACGAGTAGGATTGAAACTGGTCTTTGCGAAGGACGTAAAGATTGTGAGCATGGGAACCTCGGAATATGGTACTCATACCACATGCGAAGCTGTCTCCCGTGAAGGGGATGCATAAATTTTAAATGCGACTTTCGATGTCTTGACGAGCGCGATGGGTTATTGACAAGCGTAATGTACAACTTAAATGTCAGTGCCATGGACATATTGTCCATACCTGAGTCTTGAACTCTCCTCTGAGACATATACCTTCCAGGTTTCTAGCCCAGTCGTCCTCCAAAGGCTTGCCGTTGTGGCGTGGCAGGTGGTGACCAGAAGGATATGCTGTCAGTTGGAGACTCTGCTCGATTCCTTCGTCGTGCAAAGCTCTCACTCTTGGCCCTGTACTCCTTGAGATATGCGCCAGGGGACGCTACCAGCGTCCGATCGCTACTCATCGACCAACGAGATCGTCCCTCGATGAGATCCTCCCACCAGCCGCTTTCCAAAAGGTCAAGCACCTGTACTGTGTCATCATCTATACGGGAATTGTCGAAGCGTTGCGACAGCCTCGGAGTTGACTTTGCTGGCGGCGCGGGTAGGCTGCGAACCGAGTACCGTTCCATTGTCGCTTTCATCTCAAACTCTGGCGTCAAAGGCCATTGCTGATGAGAATCGCGCCTTTCGGGGCGCACAGACTGCACGCAGTGCCGAGAAGTGGTTGAATCGCCGGATGTCCGTCGCTGAATCCGGAGTGGAGAAGCGTTGCCCGTGCAAGGCTTGGGTATCTTAGGGGTCCGATCTTGGTCAGAGGAGTCGTCACTCTCATCTCGCGGCTCATTGTTGATCGCCTCGCGCAGCTCTCTAATCCTGTTGTCGTAGATTTCGGCAATCGCATCGAGTCTCGCAGCATCCTCTTCGCAAGAAACGCGCTTCTTCGCTTTGCTGAGCAGTTCCCTGGCGCTTCGATATGAGGACAAGGCTCCTCTGAAGTTCCCGTCTTCGTCCCGCTGAACGGCGATCTGTGCTTTCTCCAGCGCTCTAGCGAGTGTGAGACCCTTGTGGGAAGACTTGGTGCTCGTGCGAGGTTTCGACATTGCGACTCCCCAAAGCTAGTGGTGCTGCGGCGACGTGGAAAGATTTGGGTCAAGGTTTTGAGACGGATCAGCCCAGGTGAAGTTGACGAAAGGATGCGAACGCTTCTGACGAGCGTAATGACAGGTTCGGCCAAACCTATGCCATGCGTTGTCAGTGGGTGGTGAGAGTGGGTCGCTATGCAGGTCATTCGCCTGGGAGGTGGACCGTGGACCCGAATTGGAGAAGGGGTTTAAGCGCTCCTGCATAATTTCATTGGAAAGTGTGGGCAAGTTCGCGTATTCTCTGCAGAACACTGCAGCTCGGCTATGTCGTTCCAGCGCGTACGACCTGTGTCCAGATTGCTGCTGGCCACGCTCAGCACACCGCTTTATGTGCAGCATATGAGCTGGAGCATATGATAGGGCGGTGTGCTCAAAAGAAGTCGTTGACTTCTTCCATAGCGAAATAACCCGGTATGCATGATGGGCTGATGGATTCCGTGTTGTCCAGGATGTTCTCATGACCCACGATAGGTCGTGTAGCTCCACGGCCCAAGCAGCAAGGGCACATGATAATGCTCCTCGCCCTTCTCAGCCGCAAATCGCAGCTCGACTTGTGGCCAGAAAGTGTTTCCCTTGCCGTAAAACGCCTCGGTATCAAATGTCAAGCTCCAAATCAGCTGCTCGCCCTCTTGCAGCCCTGCCTTTGCCGCTTTGACCACCTCGTTGAGATCTGCTGAAGCACTCCATGCTGTTACTCGTCCATCATCGTTTGTCTTCGCCGTCCAATGGGCCGTTGTGGCGTGTTCTGGCGATACGAGCTTCAGCTTGACATCGATGCCCGCGCCAGGCTTGCCGGTGACGGTGTTGAGGACGTGGCAGGTGATGAACGGTCGTTCAGGCATGGTGGACGTTGCGAGGTGTCGTGAGAGTGTATGCAGTCGAGCTGAGGCGGTGCTATGCTGTGCAGGCATGAGCAAAGGTGAGCGGCGAAGTTTCGAACATGGCTACGAGCTTCTACATATTTGTGTCTATCATGATGGCGGCGGGAGAAGGAGGGCAGACTTGTGGCCGGCTCCGTCCGAGACGCCAAGACACCGCTGCTCGCTTCCTGCTGTCGATTCTGCCAGCTGACAACATTGCGATCGCGAGCAATTCTGCTTGCACACGAAATCTTTGCCATTGCTCGAGTCGGACGCTTGACGATTGGACGCTTCGAAGACATACGCACATTTCTAGGTGAAGCAGGAGTTTGAGAGTATCGTGTCATGAACATTTCGAGAACAGGCTCGTCTTATTGCCAAATATGTTGACTAATATTGTTACAGAAGCTATGCCATGCACATGAACTCATGCATTGCAGGTTCGAGTTCTCCGATAAATCGAAATCTGTCCAACTCCACTCCGTCCTGCCCAAGATCTGAGGACGCCTGCGCCCAAGCCTTATACACTCTATTTCTGCACCTTCTCCTTCAAAATCTTCAAAGCCGCCGACGCCACATCTCTTGCAGGCGGCCGCTTCGAAAGATCGCTGGCAGTGAGGAGTCGGACGAGCGCGTTCATTTCACGGCTATACGCCCTGCCGCAAAGATTCTCTCGCGAATGTCCCCTCATGCTGGGGTTGTATGTCAGGCGACAGAGGCAGAAGATCGTCAAACCAAGCGCCCAAATGTCGGTTTTCGTCCCGTAAGAGATCTTTCCTTTGCCCTCGGGTGGGTACCACGCAGGAGTGCCGCATGGTTGCTCTCGCTCCTGCTCTTGCCCGTTCTGGATTTCCTTCAAGGACACCGCACAACCAAAGTCGCCGACAATGACCCGAGGCAGCCCGGCGATGCCTCCGGTGCGACTGATGAACAAGTTCCTAAAAGTAACAGGTGTTAGCGATAGTCACTGTCTTATATGATATGTGTTGGTGGGGTTAGAGCTTACTGAGGCTTGATATCAAGGTGGCAGATGGTATTCCAATTCGGGGTCTTCGGCTGCTCTGTGCCAGGCGTGATGGTTTTGATGCCGTCGTGGAGGAATGCCAATCCAGCTGCCGCACCGTACAGGATATTCCAGATGATGACTTCGGAAATCGGGCGTTTGGCCTTGATGGCCTTGTCGAGAAGATCATCTACTGAGCCGCCGTCGCAATATTCGAGGATCAACGATATTGCGTCCCCATGTGCCGTGTGCCCGACCATCGTGTTAAGGTGTTTAGCCGGACCGTAACCCTTGGAGACAGTAGCGAGGGTCCGGAGTTCCCTCTCTGCAAGCTCTTCACGACCTCGACGGCGGATACGCTTCTCGACGAACAGCTGGCCGTTCGATGCCTGTACAAGGTTGACGACTTCTGATTGTCCGCCTCTCTTTAGTGCTTTGATGACCTTGAAGCCGCCTCGAGGCAATTGTCCCGGATGCAAGGCTTCCTGGAAATTCTGTGGCTGCAGGCCTAGATTGAGACCACCCTGGGGCCTGCCTCTCGCTTTAGGCTTTTCAACTTCTTCTGGTCGCACAAATCGAGACGGGTCGAATTTTGCGCCAGGAGGGTCACCATTCCGCCTCGGCTTCCTCAAGTCTGGCCTAGGGGGTCGACCCAGAACGCCTCTGCCAGCTCGCAGCCCGTTGAACATGTCTCTCAGTCCTCGACGTGCTCCACCGCCGGGCATGGGCACCGGCATTGGCCTAGGGGAGAACATGTGCTGCGGAGGTGGTCCACCCATTCCAGGGAAGCCTGCTGGTCCGCGTGGTATTGGAGATGCAGGTATGTCATCACCATCCCAAAATCCTCTCACCGGACGCCCATTGCCCGGGACAAAACCGCCCCAGGCAGGTGGCGGGCCGAATGCCATTGCTGTTGATGATTTGTGTGAGTAAGTTTGCGAAGGCTCGAAGTCTTTTTCTGTCTTGAGCAGGGATGTGGTTTTGCTAGTGTCAATGTTGGTCTGCTGTTCGTGCCTTCGATCAGAGCTGTTAATGTTTTTGGTTTAGTAAGTCATGTCAAAGGAGTATAATGGTACTTATAACAGCGGTGCTGATAAAACAGAGACGCCTTCACGGACGAAGACCAATCACTTTCCACTCAGTGAATAATCATGCTATCCTGGTGGTCCAACAACAAAGACGCTTTGTATACAGCAGAGATCAAATCTTCACTGGGCTTTGTGAAGATAGGACAATGCCATTCTTCCCCAGCAAGTACGCTGCCAGTCGCACGCGCTTAGGGTCTGGACTCGATTGGTGTGGCAGCTTTCCATTAGGAGTCATGTATTGGCGGAAGGCTCCATCGATGAAGCATAGTCTTCGCCTGGGAGCGAGTGCGTAGTGGAGTGGCCATCTTCCACTTAACAGACTATGCCGATGTGTTGCTGTGTCGACTGCCGCACCTGGAGATCTTGAAGCCGAGTGTCCACTGAAATGCATGTTGCTTTCCAACGCGAAGGAAAGGAAGCGTCGAGGACTTTGTTTTAAGAAGAACCTGCCGAGCAATGATCCGAAGTTTCATAAGAGTCGAAGCTGAGCCGTAGGCAAGTATGTATATCTCTGGAGGTAATGTTATTCGTCGTGTATACGCATATGAGTAAATGCAAACTCTGCTGAGAACTTGGATAGGCGCTCGAACTTGAGCGACACGTCCACGATCCGATGAGCAATTGTCTTTGGCTCGCGATGATAAGATCAGGGCGATTCTCGCAAACAAGGAACTCTCGATCTGTGCGAGCCAAACACGGCGCACGTGTAAGCGGGCCTGAGCCCACCAAATTCAGTGTGCAAGATGAATGGGTGTCTCCAGTAGCCCACATGGGAGTTGTTGTTCCTATACTAAGTCAAGCAAGGGCAATGAAAGTCAACGCCAAGACGACTTTTCGTGGGTGAGCAACTCCACTGCAGCCCCACTCTGGCCAGTCTATACTGCTACGGCACAGAAGTCTTCCGAGAGCTTTTGCAAACGAGTTGTGTCGTGTCTTAACATAAGACTACTGCAACAAGGACGGAAAATTATCCGATCATCGGTAAAAGCTCCGCAAAAGGCTTGACGTGCCTTATGCACTCCACAAAATACTCCAACCTACTGCGCGGGGCAGCGAAGACGAAGTGGATCACGTCCCGCAAGCAAGAAGTTTCCGGTGTCACAGCTTCGCAGGTTGTGGGTTTCGGTAGATGAGGGCTTACCAATTTTTGAGACTGTCGAGGGCCATAAATTGGGCACAGTCGCCGTCTTGCAGGATGGAGTCACAAGCAGTACTCGCCGCCATGCGCCATTCATCATCCATCGCCGGCACACTGGGTGCAGCACAAGTTGTTGCTTCGTCATCTCTCACTGCTCGTTGCAACAGCACCTCATTCGCCGATCTTGACGTGTTTGGCGCTGAAGTCATCAGCGTTGAAGCGATTCCATTGGACAACTACACAGCTTTCATTGCCGCTGACGGCGAAACTCCTGCAACGACCTATTCAGGCGTGAACGTTTGCAACCTCACTATCACCTACACGCATCCTGGCCGAGATGATACGATCAATGTCAATGCCTGGTTGCCGCTCGATAACTGGAATGGACGATTCGTGGCTTCCGGCGGTGGCGGCTGGCGAACAGGTGTTCCATCTGATTCACTTGCCCCAATTGCATCGCAAGGCTTCGCAACAGCTTCTACAGATGGTGGACACCCGATCTATGAGCAGAATGCAGCACCGTGGGCGCTGAACAGTCCTGGGAACGTCAACCTCAATTTGTTCCAAGACTTTGCATCGATAGCGCTGAACGACTTGGGTTTGCTCGGAAAGCAAGCTACTCAGCTCTTCTACCAGAAAGCAGCTGACTACTCTTATTGGAATGGTTGTAGCACTGGAGGAAGACAAGGATTGATGGTGGCCCAGCGATATCCTGACATTTTTGATGGAATTCTCGCAATCGCTCCTGCTATCAATTGGGGCTATTTTCTCCCAGCAGAGTTCTGGCCGCAGCATTTCATGAACCGCCTCGGGTATCATCCCACTCCCGATGAGCTCGAAGCAATCACGGCCGCTGCTGTGGAAGCTTGTGATGAGCTGGATGGAGTCAAGGACGGAATTATCTCGGCACCTGATGAATGCCACTTCGATGCCGAAACACTCGTTGGCCAGACATATTCACCACGCAACGGCACACAACGAATAATCACCTCTGAAGCTGCTCGGATAGCTAATGCCGCCTGGACTGGACCTCGCAGCCCCAATGGCCTATACGACTGGTACGGCCTTACGCATGGCACGAATCTTACCCTCGGGCTTGTAGCAACCGAGTGTAAGAACGAAAGTGCAAGCTCTTGCGTCGGCAAGCCTTTCAGCATCGTTGAGGAATGGTTCAAGTTGTTCGTCATGAGAGATCCCGAATTCGACATCTCCAATATCACTGACAGACAATACTTTGACCTGATTCACAAGTCCGTGCAAGAGTACGACAGTATCATTGGAACCTCTGACCCCGATCTGGAGCCTTTCAAGCGCTATGGCGGAAAGATGATCACATGGCATGGGCTGTCGGATGAGTTGATATTTCCAAACGGAACTGTGGATTACTACCAGCGAGTCCTGGAGCTAGACCCCGAGGCCTCGGATTTTTATCGATATTTCGAGGCACCAGGCGTGCAGCACTGTCGTGGTGGTCCTGGTCCTCTGCCTTCTGGTGCTTTGAATGCATTGATCAGCTGGGTCGAAAATGGAACTGCACCTGAGACGCTGCTAGCGAGCAAGACCGGTGTACAGGGAGGGACTACGATTGAGAGGGAACTTTGTGCTTGGCCGAAGAAGCAGACTTACGTGGGCGGGGACCCGAATGTGAAGGGCAGTTTTGAGTGTGTCTAAGTAATGATGCGAACTATTCTAGTCGTGCTAAGGGCATTCTATTGCCATCCAGATGCGAAACCTGCGTACATATTCCCTTGGGGGTTCGCGAAATCGCATTCTTCCCCACTTGGCTGCATGAACTTCAAATTGCCAGTCGCGCTCTGTATGGTCTCCCAGAGCCTGCTTGGCGTAGGGCGCTCTTCCGGATTGTGCTTTAGACATTCTAAGACCAGTTCCTGTAGCGGGAGGGGATATTTTTTCCCAGGCTTGCCTTCGAAATTTGGCCCGGGGATATTGCATCTGTACGCCGGCATCATCATGTCATCAGTGTCGCGGTTCATCATTGTCATGATCACGAGCCCGACAGACCACACTTCTGATTTCATTGTCACAGTGTGATATCTTTGGTGATCATCGATATATTTCTCGTTTTCTGGTCGCCAGCAGTCGTGGACTTCCTGGATTTTTGTCAATTTGGGACCATTAGATGACGCTCGAGCCGGAATTTTACGTACAGGTGCCATGTACTCTGCTGTGCCAACGCCAGGTGCGTGAGCTCTCGGATCTGACGTCCATATTCCCAGGCCAAAGTCACCTAATCTGTTGTAGCTGTTAGATCAGAATTCGTGATTCAGGATGCCACCTACTTCGCTGTTGGTATCTGTCGCCATAGATCGTTCCGAGGCGCCGTGAACATTACTGTCTGGGGTTAGATGTGTTGAAATTCATTCTTGTTCCTTCCATCTTACTGTTGTCGGGTTTAATGTCACGATGATACAGCGACCTATGCTGCTGAGGAGCACCCCCAGCTGGACCGCTTCCTCGCTCCATGAAAAGCAGCACTGTAGCCAAAGCCTCAAAGACAGACCAAATGGCACGAGTGGAGATTTGCCTGTTAGCGTTCTCATGGTCTTTGACTTTCTTTTTCAGGTCCCCGTACTCGCAAAATTCCTACAAAGTGATCAGTAACTCGGGGCAGGTCTACTCTAGGCTCAACTTACCAAGTAGAGACGAAGCATGGTGACTCTTTCGAACAAGCCATAGTCCCGATGCTCTACAACGTTCTTGACGTTCAGATTGTTCAGTGACTTTGCCAATGCATATTCGCGTGGGATCCTGTTGTAGATAGGAGCCTCCCATTTTTCTGGGGAGGTCCATTCTTCCTCAAAATACATCTCCTTGACTGCCACTCGATCGATCGGCTGATGAGATCTCGGATCTATCTTACACCACAACATGACGTTTGCAGTATTTCCACCTCCAAAATAGCTATGCGGTTGCCACGTTCCGTCGTCGTTGAAAATAGTCTGGCGTGCTGCATCGAACGGATACCACTGGGCAAGTCTGCTACCTGGCTCTCGTCTTTCATTGGTGTACTGATATGGCTTGTAAGGATCGTAGTGTGCGGTGACAAACTCTGACATCTTTTCAAATTGCTGCTGCAGATCTGCCTTTTCAGCAGGCTGAGCTACTGCTAGGGCAGCATCCCAAAATGGTTTGACGTAATTGACCCGAGATTGATTGACATCTGTCATGAGATTCTCGCAGAACTCTTGAGGAGACATGTTGACTGTGAAGTGCCGCGGCAGGACAAACGTACCGTGTTGTTCCAGGTCGCATTCGATTCGCTCCTTTTGGCCACGATATCGATCGATCGTTCTGTGATCGATATTCCTAGACAAAAGTTGATGCTCCACGTCGAAGTACAATGCGCTAAATTCGTCCCTGGGAGTGAGGTCTCGAATGTATCTTCCATTCACAACTACGCCGTTGGCAAGCGCATCTATCGCTCCGGCTGCCCTCGTCCAGCCCAAGTCACGCATACGCTGCGCCGCATTCGCCCATCTCGGACGCCAGCATTCGTCCTCGAGACTTCTTATTGCTGTTAGGAGACTGTCATAATAGTCCCTTGGGTCGATATCTCCAGAGAATGGGGGCAATTGAAGGTACTTGTTGTGTTCCGAGGCCATCTTTTGTGTTCTGCTGTAAAGATCGATGACCAGATCACGCGTAAATCCACCAGTAGTGAGCCACACCGCAGCGTAATGCCACGATCTCATGTACTTGGCGACAGGGTTATCTCCTTGAGCATAAACGTCCCCTATACCTTGGGCAGGGGCACTAGATGCCATTTTCGGGATTCAATCAGCGGAAATCAGGTGTGCCGTGAGTTGATTTTTGCTTCTCAAGCATGTTCAGTACTTGCGGGCAAGATAGGGTAGAGGTATTGCGATTTGGACAGCTTCTTTGTCTTGTAGACATTCAGTATCAGAAATGTTTCCGCTTCCGGCAAAGAAAGAACTGCTGTGAGGCTCCTCCGCCTTTCACACCGAGTTTCATTCCAGACCCTCCTCAATCCCTCTGAAAAGTCATCTTAGAGTACGCATCCGCAGGATTGCGATACAGAATAATCTCATCATCCTGTCTGTCCCGCTTCTTCAAAGACTCCTCTTCCAGTGCCGGATCTTTGTAGTTAACCTCTCTTTGAATTCTTTTCCACACTTCCTGACAAGTAGGCCGGTCATCTGGCCAGAATTTAAGGCACTCATGCACAAGATCGATCAGAGTTTGTGAATAATGCACTTCAAGCTCTGGCTCTAATTGCGGTGGCGCAAAATCGTCGAGTGTCACTACATCGACATTGTTGTCATTTTCGAGTCTCATAAGACTCAGCATGATGCGAGCCACAGACCACAGGTCGGCTTTTGCTGAGATTTCCGTGTTTCTGTACCAGTCGCTGACTGGCGGGTAGTCGTAGGATTCTGGGGCCATGTATCCTAGGGTTCCCACGCCCTGGGCTCCAGATGTGGGATCGCTGGCGTGGATTGATAGACCAAAATCGCCGACTTTGGCAATAGGGATTTCATGCCAGTCGGTGGTAGAAGGCTTGGCCATGAAAATGTTGGCGGGTTTCAAGTCGCGATGGAATAATGGTTGATGAGTGACCGCAAATCGGCTGCTCGGCAGCTTGCCATCGCTCATCATACACAATGCAGCTACTAGTGCTTCGAAAATGGCCCAGAGCATTCGGTTGGGAATGTATCTAGGGGCCGTCAGTAGTGCGAGGTGGACGAGAAAGGAACCCCACTTACTTTCCATAGGGCCGGCCATTTTCGTCAACGAGGTCGCTATATTTCAATCCAGCATACTCGTCGATAAGATCTTCGAGGTCACCATGTGGGCAATATTCTGCATAAAGACGGTGCATCGCGAGCGTATCGTATATACCGTACCCGTCAACCCGAAGGATGGTATCACCACCTCGCTTGCTGGACACAGAACTAGCCAAGCCGTATTCCAGAGGCACTCGGTCAAGAAAATTGCCAAACCACAGCCTTGAGTCATCCCATCCGGAACGTAGGGAAGCGGCGTAAGTCTCCTTGACGACCTTTCGATCGATAACGTAGACCAGGCCCATAGGAAACCCAAAGGCTGGCGTTACCAAAACTGCCACGACCAAGTTGGCATTTGTAGTGCCAATTTCCTTGGATCTCACTCCTTTCCTGATCAAAGCCTAGCGATTGTGCAAGACCTTCCCACTTTTTTACTTTCTGATCCCATGACGGGAGTCTCTGCTCGCGTGGCCCGTACGGAATCTCCCCTCCTCGGACTGCGCGTTCCATTGTATTAAGTTCGCCCTCAAGTTGCCTGCGCTCGAGCTCATCCTGTCGGCCCTCAGCATCACTTATGGCCTGAGCCCATTCACCACGGATGTTCTGGAGCTCACGGTTGCGATATTTTCGAATGTCGTGCAGCAGTAGCTCACAGTAACCTCCAGCACTGCTAAGAGGGACTGCCAGTCGAGGAACGAAATCTCTGGTCATGTCATCCTCGGACCATTTGCGCAAGTCAATGAACCTGGCCTTGGTCTTCAGATTTGGATTGAGAGCGTCAAATTTCTCCGTCACAGCCTCCCATGCCACTTCCTGGAAAATTTCAAAGGCTGTTGTCTCGGGTTTGCGGCTTCCGTCTTGTGCCCAGAGCGCAAATGCGTCGTCGCATCGTCTCTCGAAATCCGCAGCACGTTGCTGGCCGTAGAATAAATCAAGTTCCATCTTCAATTCTTCTTGATACTCGGTTCGGAAGTGATGGCATGCGAACATCCTCCAAACAGCTTCGCTGACAACTTTGTGTACTGCGACGTGCCCAACGTCTGGAGAAATTCCTGGAACATCGATTTCGCTACCCTGGTCCACAAGATCGTAGGCAACATTTGTAAGGTTTATCGTATCTCTTATGGTATCTGCAGGTGCTCCTAAGTTCGTCAAAATGTCCAGGACTTCAGTCATATACTGCCAAATCGTCTGCCTTGGATCGATGGGCATTGCATCTTCTATTTTGTTCGCTGTCGAGTCGCGACGGATGAGATCAGACGAGATGCGGTCCCTCGAGATTCGCCTTGTTGGGTCTGCACCAGCTGAAGGTCTGGCACCGACTGATGGTGAGGAACGTGGCTCTTTCATGGGCCTAGCGTCTGGTCGTCCTTGACCGAAATCCTCCGGAGCTCTCGGCGTAGTGTTCAAGCCAGTGCGGGCTACCGCACGAGCTGTACCAGACGAGTTTTCGCTTCGCTCACGCCTGGGCGCTTTGGACCTATGGCGGTCTTGGTCACCACTACCGCTATCATTTTGACTGCGGTGCCTCTTGCGACCACGCTTCTTGTCGTTCTCTCCTTGCATCACTGAGCAGCGTAAATGCGTGTCCAGGCGGATGACTCGAGCTTGTGGCTGATTGGGCGAGTGAAGCGAATTGTGTAGGCAGATCTGGAGTGAGCGACAATTTGTTGCTTTGGCCAGCTCTTTGGGTATCGTTGCAGCGGGTGTCGCAGCTAGCTCGGCAGATTCTGTTGCTCCGAAGTGACTCCTTGTCGTGTAATCTCGACTGCTCGTTAGATGTAGAAAAGTGTGTGTACTTGGTCCATGACATGATCTGACTGTCGCGAATCAACAACGATTGATTGTTCAGATCTCTCTTTGTCCACGTATCTCCGCATCGGGCGCGAGAGGACGACAAAGAACGCCCGCTGATTCTCTTGACTTATCGATCTGGCTGATCTCATTGCTGGATTTTTGTGCCAGACGTATAGTGCATGTCGCGCTGCATTTGTGCGTGATGCTCCATCCGAAGAAGGATGCTCAGGTCAAGCAACATTGACATCTGCGCGAAGTTGAAAACTATCGAGAGGACATCACACGCTTGCCCTGCTCTAGTGTATCGACACATCAAGGCCGCGCACTTTCGGCCAGTATTCCTTCTTGTTGTGATTGTGGGAAGTCTGCTCCTGGACCGCGCCCATCTCCCACCGCCATCTGGTGGGCGCCAAGATGTCCAGCACAGTTCTGAATAGCATCGTTCAATCCCATGCGATGGAAACAGGTGTGAGCGGGTTCTAGTTCGATGCAGAGCGTGGTGGTTTGAATGGAAATCGAAGTCAAACGGCAAGCAGGCGCCAATTGACCGGGATAGAATAGCCCCACTTTCCCGAGTGAAGTCGGCGTTGCCATCCTCCGACGCCTTTGCTTGTGCAGCATCATCCCATAGAATATTCAGCCAGCTGTGCGCCGCCATCAAACGCTCACGAGCTTTTGACGCTTCGTAGATCAATAATCACGGACCAGGAGCCCACGAAGCATATGCGGCCCCCACGACCAACGCTTCGATCGGATCCTGCGCTCCAACGAAACGATCGCCGACGGCATCGAGCCCATGAGGCCCAACACGTTCGAACTCACTTTTGACTATGCCACGCCCAGCTGCGACGTGCCGACGAGACCTCCCATGCACACTTCCTCAGCGCCGGCCTGTCGCAAACCTACTTTTGATGATTACTGGGTATAATAAGACATGTATACAGAGGAGGGAAAAGACGGAGACACATTCGCCTCTGGCTCGCAGCTGCTGGGGCGATGTCATGATGGTGGCCATGTTCTGAAGAGGCGGTCCTCCATCCCACATCGATCAAGAACCGCTGTACAACGGGCCCGCTCAATCATTGTTTGGACATCACACTGACCGCAAGTCACATGCTATAGAGTTTGATATCTCATGGCGGGGAACGAGCACGCCATCTGCACTACTGCGCATCCTTGCTCTCAAGCTGCACGGCAAACTACTCTGACATCAACGCCCTCGGCCATCAGCATCCGTCGTTATTGGCCGCGAATGGTGGCCGCAGGCACTGCAGCGTGGGCAAAGCATCGCCAGCGTCAAATCTTCGCAAAGCTCGTCAGACGCGCCGCCAATGATGAGCTGCTCAACAGATCGGCGCAGCATGCGCTTCCGTAGGTCCAGTGTCTTTTTCATATTTTGCTCATGTTTGTTCTACTCTTCCCGATCACATTGCCACAGCTACCATGCCTTCTACCTACAACTCCTCCCCTTTCCTCTCCCTCCGCCCCGATTCAGAATGTGGGCGGACCAAAGCACAGGGTGGCAGGAGCTTCTCTAGCTTGAGCGGACACGCCACGCCGAATGGCCACGGCAATGGCGCCAACGCTCACACAAACGGCTACTCCAATGGCTACTCCAATGGCTACTCAAACGGCAACGGCACTCGGTCACCAGCAGGACCCTCACAGGACGAATTCCTGCGGCTCGATGCTCCTCAGCAAGACCTTCTCCTCCTCCACGGACCACGCCAAAAGTACAAGCTCGAAAAGAGTAGCAGTATACCAGAGCTACAGGGTGATCGCGAGATCTTGATTCAAGTCCTTGCCATTGGCTTGAACCCTGTCGATTGGAAGGGAGCAGACTATGGCTTCAGCCAGCCCAGCTATCCTTGGGTCAATGGTCGCGACTTTGCCGGCATCGTTGTTAGAGCGCCACGAAACAACAGCCGAATCCAGCAAGGCGACGTCGTTTTCGGTCCCTCGACAGACTACCGAGACGTGAGGAAGGCAGCTTATCAAGAGTACGTGGTTACAACGGACTACAATGTCACAAGGATACCACAAGGCGTGAGCGTCAAGGAGGGTGCTGCTTTGGGTGTCGCCTACGTTGCTGCAATCACTGCACTTGGTGTGAGCTTTGGACTTGATCTCTCCAACCTGAGAAACGCTCCTCGGGGTCCAGATCTCCTCCAGCTCACCCGCCAGCTCGATCCTCGCAATGTTCCAGATGACATCCGCGATGAGATCTTTTCGGGCATTCCCGTCAATGAACGACCACAACCCGGCGAGTGGCTTGCGATCTGGGGTGCCAACAGCATGACCGGACAGATTGCGCTGCAGATTGCGAAGCACGCTGGTCTCAAAGTTGCCTGTATTGCTGATTTGGCAAACGGAGGCCAAAGGCTGTCCACTCTTGGCGCAGACTTCATGGTTGACAAGTACGACGACAAGCGCGCAATCGACATCTTGAAGGCCGTTTCTGGTGGCAAGCTGCGATTCGGCATCGATTGTAATGGCAAAGACTCAGCAACTTCCTTGCAAGAAGCTCTCACCCAATCCGATACCGGTGCGCGCTCACACTTGCTGGGTCTGAACGGATTACCAAAGTCTGTGGGCAGAGGCGTTATGCATCACAAGCTCCCCATCAAGGTCTTCCATGAGGCGCCCATTGTTGGCGAGGCCATTTCAGTGTGGCTGGAAGATCTGCTCGTGCACAAGAGTCTTCAATTGCCTGAGGTTGAGATCGCTCAAGGTGGTCTCGCAGGCATCAATGATGCTCTGGACCGCATGCGCACTGGGAAGATTGGCGGGAAACGCGTTGTTGTGCCTGTTGGCGAGGAGGGCAAGTCTGGCCCAGGCACGCCACTCAGCAATGGCGCTGTTCCAAATGGCATCGGTGCAACAGCCACTGAGAACCAGTCACTTGAGTACGCAGATTCTCTCAACTCCGATCCGGACCGCGTCAGATTCGCATATTGGGTGCCAAACGTGTCTGGCGGTCTTGTCATCTCAAAGATCAAGCAAAACACGCATTGGGGTCTGAAGTCGAACGTTACATACGCCAAAACCGCCGAACGTGTCGGCTTCGAGTATGCCCTCTCACAAATCCGCTTCATGGCTGGATACGGTGCAGAATATCAGCACGAGCCAGTGTCCATGTCGCAGGCACTGCTTCACGAGACTCAAAGGCTTAAACTTATTATCGCACTTTTGCCCGGACCCTGGAATCCAGCTGTTGCTTCGAAGATCATTGCTTCTATCGATCAGTACAGTGAAGGCCGAGCTTGTGTCAACATCGTCTCTGGTTGGTTCAAGGCAGAGGTAAGTAGTGCATGTGGGTCTGTTGTCGTTGTGGCTAACTGATCATCCTACAGTTCACCGCCATCGGTCAATGGTGGCTCGATCACGCCGAGCGATACCGTCGTTCCAACGAGTTCATCCGATGCCTCAAGGGCATTTGGACCAACGACACGTTCACCTTCAAGGGCGACTTCTACCAATTCCACGATTTCCCACTGAAGCCGAAGCCGCTCAACTTGCCTGGGCGCCCACATCCTGAGATCTTCCAGGGTGGCAACTCCGACGATGCGAAAGAGAACGCAGGCAGTGTCTCTGATTACTACTTCATGAACGGCAACACACTCGAAGGCTTCCAGGCACAGATTGGCGATGTCAAAGAGCGGGCTAAGAAGAACAACCGCGAGGGACAAGTCGGTTTTGCGCTCAACGCTTTCGTCATTTGCAGAGAAACTGAAGAGGAGGCTATTCGCGTTCTGCAAGAGATCCAAGGCAAGGCTGATCCAGAGGCCGTTGAGGGTTTCAGACAACAGGTGCAGAACGCCGGTGCCTCGACTGGCAACAAGTCTGGCATGTGGGCAAACAGCAAGTTTGAAGATCTGGTGCAATACAACGATGGCTTCAAGACCAAGCTGATTGGCACGAAGGAGCAAATCGCAGACCGTATTGTGCTGTTGAAGAGCTTGGGTGTCAACATCATCCTGACAGCTTTCTTGCACTATGACACGGAGATTGAGCAATTCGGTCGCGAGGTCCTGCCTCTCGTCAGAGAGTTGGAGAGACAAGGTCGCGGCAAGGACACGGCCGATGAGATCAGAAGGACGGGAGATGTGTACAAGGCGAAGGAGAAGAAGTAAGCGGGATCATTCTCCTTCTTCTTGTTGCTTGTTGCAGTGGCTTGCAGTGCTCGCCTGCTCTGAGAAAGTTGTTTTGTTTTGCTTGAAATGTAGTCTAATTTGGTGCGATTCAGTAGTTCCTCAAATGCGGAATATGTGTCGACGAGCACCCTTCCACCTTCGTTGGCAGAAAGCTCGGAAGTTGCAGGAGAGACGAGGGCAGACAGTACTGCTGTGGAGCGAGAGCCAGAACCCGAAAGCAAGCCCTCGTTGTCTGCCGATCTTACAACAACTCCAGCTTCAGAGCCCCTGGCACAAATATTGAAGCAGTCATCATCACCATCGACACAAAAGCCCGCCAATCAAGAAGTGCAAGAGCATGAGGATGAAGTAATGACACATGGAGAGGAACGCTGGTTCGAACCAGAAGCCGGCCCGAAAGCAGAACGCTTCTACGGACCTTCCCATGATCAAGGAACGTCAGATGAACTGGAACTGGGCTTCCAGATCTCGGAACCCATGGAAATCCCTGAGAATTTCGCTCGGGACACTCTTCCAAATGTTCAGCGACCTCCGCCAGAAGTCTTTACAGCTGAAACGGTGGTGGATGAAGACATATTCCGACAGACACTTCCTGATATGCCAAGCAACTCTAGTGCTGGTGCATTCAGGATCTTGGATGGGAATATCGATTCGAGGGTAAATTCTCCTGTTGGGAGTGTGGACGGTGATTATAATGACGATGAAGAGGAGGAAGAGGAAATGCCAAGGCACTCTGATGCCGGGGCGGACTTCGATTTCACATTCCCGGGCACGACTACTGCAGACGTGAAGCCCGAATCGAAGCCCGAATACCTTGCCAACAGCTCAAAAGACGAACAGAATGAGGATCAAAAGCACAACTCAAAACAAGACGATATTGAAGAGGATCAAGACCAGCCATCTCCAACTACGCCTGCTGCAAAAAACGTGGAAGTCAATGCAGCAACAAAGACGGATATCGAGGAACGCTCCGTATCACCCAGTGAGAGGAGAACAAGCCTCACTATCAGAAGCTTGCAGTCCCCGAGCGAGAGACCGATCAGTCCGAAGAGTGAACGGTATAACGATAAGAATGGCTTACTCCGGAGGATGAGAAATAGTCTGAGGAAGAGCAGTCGTGATGAGAGGACATAATGCTCTGGCACTGCTACACTGCCACTTGGTGGTTCAGCGAAGCATGGCGCACGGGAGTTAACAAGACCTGACGACCTTATTGACGACATGCGTTTTTTGTTCTTGGCAAGTCTCAATGCTTTGTTACCGTGGTTCTATGAGCAGCACGTGTCAGCCACGATAGCAATTCTTTGTCTGTGGTAGATTAATGTCTATTCTTGGCGAACAACGAAGCAGTACATATACCAGAATTGCTCGTGGCAGCCTTGCTGCACACTTCAGCACGAGTTTTCATATTTTCATTCTTATTCTTCGTTTCGTATACTCTCTCTTTCAGGCCTGGTGCCGTTATACGCTTGACACGAACGATTAATATACTGTATTCATACCAGCATAAGCAAAAAGAAGAACGACTGCAATCGGCATCTCGCAACACTGAGCATTGATATCAAAAATGCGTACATCAAACCTCCTCTACATCTTGCCCGCTCTCGTGCAAACCGCATACACAGCCCCAGCAAACACCTACTCATCCCTCACAACCCGCAACGACGACCCCGACACCTTCAAAATCCACATCTACAACAACTGCCCCTGGGCCAAACAATTCGCCCTCTACCAAATCACCCCCTCCTTCGGCATGAACGAAATGTCCAAACCCCTCAACGTCGAATCCAAAAAATCCTCCATCATCGATGCTCCCTACAAAGCCCTCGGCATGCGCCTCTCCGGCCACGCCGAATGGGGAACCGGAGGCCAATGGAAAGCTCAAGCACTTTTCGAATTCGGCTATGCCGCTATGGAATATGGTGGAGCTTCGCTTGCTGGTAGTGCGTACGATGCTTCTGTGATGAAGGGTTCGGATGCGGATATTGGGGTTGCGATTTATCCGATTGATAATGGGAAGGGGAGTAAGAGTTGTGAGAGTAAGAGTTGTTCGCCGTGGGATTGTCCTGCTGATCAAGGATGGACGGAGCCGGAGCAGGTTAATATTGGGAGTCCGGCTGATACTGTTTGTTATAAAGGAAAGACGGACTTTAAGGTGGTGTACTGTCCTTGAGAGTACGGCCGCTGAAAGCTGGCTTGAGCGTGGGCGAAATAATTATTAGTGTCTAGTAAACTTCTCTTGATGAGAAGAATCTAATTTGCAAATGTTTCATTAGCTCTCTACTAAAGTGCAACATTCTCACCCTGAATCCCCCGGGCCTGTTCCGCTATATCCCTTCAGACTCTCACATGGCACGTTGTTCTTCTCTATGAATGCGTTGTCCATTCTGTAGCCCCACGCTTTCAATGTTGTCTTCTGTGGATAATATGGCGGTTCGACTTTGAGTTCTCCTTGAACCGGCACTGGCGCAAATTGTCCCTGTGTGACACTTGTATTGTAGAGCGTGATATAATTGTCACAGACTGGCAGTCCAGAGCCGAAGGCTGGTTGATTCGTGATGTTGACGAACAGCTTTTGGCTGTATGGGATGCTCGCTACGGTCCTGAAATGCGAATCGAAGGTTGGCTCGGAACCAACAAGTTTTGATTCTGGCACTGCATAGCCCGACAGGTATGTGGAGCCAGCCTTATCATTTGCGTAGCCATCGCATGGGGGATCAAAAGTGGCGGGTATCGTCTTCCCATAAGCAGTAGAGCCAATTATGGCGACCGGGTTGGACACGCTGATAAGCTGCGGTGCTGTATATCGGAAGCAAGAATAGCCGTCGTTAAGTCTGTCCACGAATGGGAAACGGAGTGCCATGCGCTGGATACTGGTCAATACAAAGCTCTTTCAAGCTCGCGCAAGTGTAATCCCTTACCTGAAAGTCTGGTATCTTTATGCCGAAGCTCTGCACGTCGTGATCTAGCAAGCCCTCGAATTCCGCAGGGTACATGTCCTTCGGGAATCCTGGAATAAGTTTCTCGTACGCCTCTCGAAGAATGCCATATTGAGCCGGAATGACACTACGCGCTACATCGTACGGTATCGGGACGATGGCTGACGTGCCATTGATAGTGCCGGTGACTTCTGTCGGGCGGTCTTTGGCGATGGGATTGGGCTGTGATTGAGTCTTGCAGAGCAACCCGGGAAGTGCCGTTGTGGTACTCAGAATGGCGGCGGCCAGCAGTGCACTTCGTAGTACCGTCATGTTGGCACTGGCTTGGTGGTAAGCAGGGCGGCCACTGTGAGGACTCAAGATCAGTCAAGACTCTTCTCTCGCACTCGCGTTGTCGCACTCGCATCAAGGCGCAAATTTGAGTTTCGCATCGCGTCAGTGGCAGCTTTGGTCGCCCGATGGTACAAGCATGCAATATACGAGAGCGGCGATGAGGTGAAGTCTTTCATGGCCATCGTATAACGATATCACATCCACCATTGATGTTGTGTCCATATTGGCATGGAGCATGGAAGCAGCTACGATGCTGAAGGCAGTTTGCTGCGGTTGGTCTTGGCCCGGATCCTTCGTCGCTCCTTTCAAGCAAGCATTTTGGTCATCGGCAAATTCCGATCACTTCCCACAAAATCTACGCAGCTTTGCTGGCTACACTCCCAGCATGATACGCTCGTGCCTAGGGCGTAGCGAGGCAGCTGCAACAGCTCGCATTGAGCACAACAGGTCGGCTGTTCCCGTTTTTCGGCGAAATTTTGACCTCCGATCACCTACGCCGGCCACCTCCAAAACATTGAATCTTTATATTGCAGCTACCCGGCAAGCTCACCATCAACATATGGGGTCTGTTGGCCCAATGGTAAGGCGTCTGACTACGATTCCACGTTATCAGGAGATTCTGGGTTCGGTACGTTGTAAAATCAGCAGTTGTGAGTATGAATTGCAGCTAACAGTCATCCAGATCCCCAGGCAGACCTTCAAAGATCAAGCCCCATCTTTTTAGCATATCAAAAGCAACAGCCCTGTCTTTTTGAGCCCACTACGTCTGCTGGTTGACGAGATATCTGCATTCGAAGTTGAGGTGAAATTTTTTCCTTCTTGGCACTCTCACTTGCCTCCAGCCTTTGTGAGGGTCCGTTCCAGACCAGCAACTGCTCCGTCTGCTAACGAAGCTCTGACGGTAACTGAGACTGCTCCGCAAGCATTCGAGAGATAGCATTGTCCATTTTCCAAAGCGTAACGTCTGAAAAATATCGAACACGGACACGTCGGCTGCCATTTCAGGCGCAATGTCCATTGTATGGCTTCCAGAGCGCACTTACATTTCCTTTTGCTGCAGCAGATTGAAGGACTCGGCACAAAATTACCATCTCAGAACGCAAAAGTCGTTCTAAAGGTCCAAATCTGGCACCAACGCCACCTGTGGCCTGTCCGTTCAGCTCGACACAGACCATGTATCGATGAGTCTCGATCATCCGCCGCACACTGCCACAGGTGCTCAAGCTCAGCTACTTCCTCGCCGCTCGACGACGCAATTGACGATCTTCTAACATATATTCTCGACAGCGAGTTTCTCGCCAATCCTCTTGGTGTCACAGTTAGGCGGTCAGTGTTCGCCCAGTCGTATTTGATATGAGAAATTAATACCCGACTGTACACATTCATTGCACAGGCACTTCAGGAAAGTCGAAGCCTTGGTTACCATATCCCGAAACCTAGATACGCCCAGTTTCCATCGGCCGAGTTTGACCTGAAAATTTGACCCACAAGAAGACGACATGCTCCTGTGACCTTCCTACACTTCGCACGACTTCAGATTTCATGCTTCGAGACACGGCAGAGAACAATATCGGAAGCTGTCTCCGCACTCATGCCTCTCCTCTCCTCCCCGTGGGGAGAAACCCCAAATGCCATGCCTTGGCGTGCATAGCGCTCTTGGCCACAGGCTTAGCGACGACTGGTCTTCGTTCCTCTTCCCATAACTGCTTCAACGATGCTCTTGGCCATCATCAAGGTTCATCCCCTGTCAATATGCCCTGTCGGCGAAGCTACGGCATCAGAAAACAACATCGGATCATGGCAGCCGGGGATGTTCGTTGCAGCATTATTCCGAATCCGAAGTGCACTCGCTGTCATGTTTTAAAGAGTGGTATGAGGCTCGAGAAGAGGCCATAGCCATCTTATTCATCCTTCACACTTCTGAATCGAACTTGTCAAGATGGCTGGAGGCTCTTTATTCTTGAGCAATGATGCGAAAAAGGACCCCAGCGAGATCTTCAATGGCCGCTTACTCTACCTATTGGTGGCAGTAGCTTGGGCGGGCATGTTCTATGGCTTCGATCAAGGCAACATCGGCGGTATCATGGAACTTCCCTCTTTCGAACGGTCTTTCGGCTTGGTCGACGATACTCAGCAGCAACGCGACGACAAGAAGGGTACCATCGCAGCCATGCTCGCAGCAGGTGGTTCTCTTGGGGCTCTGATGGCTGCTCCATCCTCGGATTACCTGGGACGGAAATGGTCGGTCTTCACTTACGGGCTTGTCTTCATGCTCGGAGCTGCACTACAGATGGTACCGAATTTTGACGTCTTGCTTGCTGGAAGATTCATTGGTGGCTTGGGCGTCGGCAGTTGCAGCATGCTAGTACCGCAGTTCCTGTCAGAGAATGCTCCACGATCGGTCCGAGGCTCAATGGTATGCACGTATAACCTCTGCATCATTGTGGCTTTGATGATTGCCTTTTGGGTCAATTACGGAGTTTCCTTGTGGTCTGGACCCAATATCGAATATAACACTTCCCAATGGCAGACTGCGATGTCCATTCAGCTTATTCCCGGCGGATTCATGTGCTTGATGGTGCCATTTCTCCTCGAGACGCCGCGGTACCTGATCCGTATTGGGAAGAACGAAAGAGGGCTTGCCAATCTCAGCAAGCTCAGAGGTCTTCCTGCCGATCATCCTTATGTTCAACTCGAATACAATGAGACGTACAACCAGATCGCAGCGGAGCAGGAAATTCATGCTGGCAACAGCTACTGGCAAATCCTGAAGGACATCTTCACGATTCCGAGTAACTTTCAGAGATTTGTCCTCGCTGTTATGCTCTTCTTGTTTCACAAGCTGACCGGAACTGACTCGCTCAATGTAAGAGGAACGATTTAGTAACTTCGTTCGGCTTACTGACATGTCATAGTACTTCGCCCCTCGCATCTTCCAGATCATCGGCGTCAGTGACGGCAACTCACTTCTCACAACGGGCGTGTACGGTGTCGTCAAGTTTGTCACCACTATCTTCTACGTTGGCTACCTCGTCGAACATGTTGGACGCCGTCTACCCCTCATCGTGGGTGCGACCATCCAGGCTTCTTGCATGCTCTACCTGGCACTTTACGTCAGATTCGGCCCTGACCCAGAGACTGTTACTGGCGGTACTCCAGCTGGAGGCATCGTTGGCATCATTGCTATCTACCTCTACGCTTTCGGATGGTCGTTCGGACACTCAGTCGCATGTTATGTGGTTGCTGCAGAAATATTTCCTGCTCGTATCGTAAGCCATCAAACGACAGTTTTGATTTGATATGATCTGTTACTGACTACTCTCCAGCGCTCGTTTTGCATGTCCTTCTGCTTCTTCACAAATTGGATCGTGAACTATGGTAAGATCGCTTCACATGTGTTTACAATTGTCTGCTGACAGCTGAGCCAGGTATCACGCGTGCAACACCAAACATGATTACAACGATGGGCTGGGGCATCTTTCTGATGTACGCGGTCTTGACCTACCTCGGGGTCGGCTTCGTATGGCTGTGCTTGCCAGAAACCAAGGTAGGCAGAGGTCTCTTCCTTCTAGCTTGATCCACCACAATTACTGACAAACCTACAGGGCAGATCCATTGAATCTATGGATGACCTCTTCCAACATCCTCTGTGGATGATGTGGAAATTTGCGTACCCAAAAGAAGAGGATAAGGTGCGAAGAGACGTTCAGGATACTATGATGGAGAAAACGGTAGATTTCGAAGAGTCACATGCCGATGCTAAGGGCTCGGCCGCAACGGTAACTGAGAGAGTGGAGAGGACATGATTGTCAGCGTGGAGTTTGTCGCAGAGCTCATGCGGTGGTTAGACAGTGATAGCTTGCCATACAGCACGCTCTATATGATTGTATCTCGTCTGGCATGCTGAATCACGGCATAGCGCCTCAACTGATTGCTCAACTTGCCTTACTGAACAAGAGGACTCTGATATCTCAGGACTTAGTTTTGCTGTGGAGGAGTAAGAGGCACGCCAGCAGCCACAGCGTTGGCGGAGGCAGGATCTGTGCATGAACCATCCCAGCAGAAATCGACCACTTTTGGATCTTCGACGGTGCACTCCTGGTCGAACACGCAAAGGCCCTGCTGTCTGTTGGCGTTTCCCTGGACAGCATCCGCGCAAATGTTGCCTGGGCCGCAGTAGAGCCCGTTCTGGCAATCCAAGTCGTACCAGCATTGTACCTTCACCGGTTAGAATCTGCAGATACAATCTCAATGGCTGCACTTACTTGCTCGGCCAGAGCTGGAGTTGCTGAGAATGTGGCAATTGCCAGAGCGATGACTGCGTTGAACTGCATCCTGGTTCTTTGTGAGGTCTGACGCTTCGAAGGAGTCAGTACGAAGCTGATAGTCGGACGCAAAGAGTTAATACGTACAGTGATGTTGTATGTGAAAGACGTATTGTAATGTTGACTTACTGGAGAGTAGGCAGTCACCACCAGGAAGCCTCAAATATATCCAGCCTGTGTTTTAGTCTACTACGGAATCTTGGCATGTACGCGCAAGGCACGACAGCGATCAGACTGTTTCATGTCCAGAATACGGGAGTGATCGACACCCTATTCCGCAATAAGATCGCTGTTACGACTGCTAGCTACTTTGACAGACCATCATCAGCTACAAGGAAAAGGAATACGAGCAGATGCCAAGCAGCGGACTGAGAGAGTAGGGAGAGAATCCACAAAACTTCAAGCCTGAGACAACGAAGACTACGCCGCCAGGTTCGTTGTGCTAGGGTGAGATAACCTACGGCACTGCTATACCAAGTACGCCTTTCTATTCCGTGTATCTGCACAGGTTACGTGGTGTCGAGCTGGCGATGCTCGATGCCCAGCGTATAGATGTTCCCTAATTTTGTGGCTTCTCACTTACTTTACTGCGCCTATAAGACCAGTTCTAGTCCACTGGTCTTCAGCCCTAAGCTAGTACAATTAGCTTGTGTTAGGTCAAGAAGGAGCTTTGTGCACGGGTGGAAAGCCAAAATCTCCCATTTTAGAAAACTTTGTAGGATGAATCGGAACTGCGGCCGCATCATGAAACACGTGGTGGAGTTCTGAAAGGGTTGCTATTTCTGCTCCTCGCACATATCACATTAGACGCGTCCCCGAGGCTGAGCACGTTGCGCCATATAGAGAATTTCGCCCTCGGGCGGATTCGTACGTAATCTCTGGTTGCGTTTCAGTGTTGGGCATAACATAAGTCGAAGGGCTTCTTGCTTTGCTGAGAGGCATAGTAAATAGGCTGATGTAGGTGGTCTGATACTGGACGACATCGGGACAGATAGACTCAGCTTGACTTTCAGAAGCTATCAGGAGAAGCTTGTTGCTCCACCGTAGTCGGGGTTGTGAACAGGCTGGAAACCCTTAGGGCCGACGACATGCCCGGCCCGGGAACGGATGATATTCGACCGCGCAAAGGAATCGGAAACGACGACGGCCCGATGCCTTCTACTCAGATCGACGTGTCAGTACGTCAGAAGCGTTGCACCATTGACTGTCGTGGCTACCAGAACTCATCTGCATCTCTGAATACAAGTCCTTGATACCAGTTGCGGTCATGTGCAACTGAATCTTGGCAGACATTTCAATTCCCAGCCCAGGCCACGACACCTGTGTCGAGGTCGTAAATTCTGCTCTCATCCAGGACACGACCAAAAATTTGCTGAATCGAGGACACCAGTAACCAGCCACACGAGACGGCAGTAGCTGCTTCATCTCTCCGACGAAAGCGCCCGTTGAGAGCTTCCAATAGTGCAGAAGATCTTGAACAGACATCGTTGACTATTCAAGAGCATGGTCGACTGAGAGAGCTGGGATCTGACGGAGCTGGTCACATACTCGGGACGCAGTCTCCAAAAACATCTCACTGCACCGCATCTTTCATGCACACCCAGTACATGCCACAAGAGTTATAGGCGGAGGAATAGATCCACTTGGTGCCTTTGGATATTTTAAGATACCGGGCGTCCAGAGGAGAGTCCGTCCTACGCAGCCAGGCAGGCTGTACACAGGCTTTTATGCCATTCAATGCCGCCACTATCCAGAATCTTGCTGTACATCGGTCGTCCCGTCACAACTTGGCGAGGAACGGTGCGACGGGTCCTGGGAAATCGCGTCGCGAAGCCTCAGGAGCGCCCGCTTCAATGTCCATCCGGCGATCAAATTGGTGACCATGCTCAAGTCAACTTCAGCCCCATCACGTCCATCATAGCTTGCTGCGCTTCATGAAGTGTCGATGGTCGTACATTGAGATGTGTAGTCGTCGACTTGAATGGCATTTAGACCAGACATCGATCAGCGGCAGGCTCGGCAGAGAGTGAAATACCCCACAGCTCTCCACGTACACTTTCACCAAAGCAATGAGCCTTGTGACACCACATCAGACAATTCGACCTGCTCGGGACAGACCTCGGAAGGCTTCCTCCGACGGTAATCAACAAGTCGGCATGCCCGCCGAGCTCTCTATCCACCAAACCAAAGGTCCACCGATGCCAGGAAGAAGGCCGGCACCAGTCTCGCCGCGCGGAATTGCTCTAGTAATCCGCATTGGCTCACTTTATTCTGACATCGTCTCGTTGCTCTGAAATGCTCTCTGGCCGGACAGACATCTGATCCATCCCAGAACTTTAGCGAAGATGCCACACTTCCAGCAATCGCCTTCTACAACGTCACCCGCCGTCCCAGCCGGCGTTTGGTGTCCCGTCATCTCATTATACAAAGACACACCTCGCCAAGAAATCGACCTCGAAGCAAGCTACACATACTTCTGCCACCTCATCAAAGGCGGCGTAAATGGCCTGGTGCTCCAAGGTTCCACAGCTGAGGCAGCTCTGCTATCCCGAGAAGAAAGAATAGATATCACTCGCACAGCTCGAAAAGCAGCAATCGACCTCGGAGTCCCGGATTTTCCTTTAGCTGCTGGAATCAGCGGGCAATCCACGAATGAATCAATCCGACTCGCAGAAGATGCAGCAGCTGCTGGAGCAGATTTTGGACTTTTGCTACCTCCGAGTTATTGGCCCAAGGTGATAACGAACGATGCGATTGTAGAGTTTTATCGCGAGGTGGCGGATAACTCGAGGATTCCGATAATCTGTTACAACTTTCCAGGCGTCACGTCAGGCATTGACCTCAGTGTCGACATTCTCTCGCAACTAGCGCCACATCCCAATATCGTTGGCGTGAAGCTCACTTGTGCGAACGCTGGCAAAGTGACCTCACTTACTGCCAAGTTCAAGCCTTCGGAATTCGCGGTCTTCTCTGGACAATCGGATTGGCTTCTTCCCTGTTTGATCGGAGGCGGGATTGGCTGTGTGACTGGTATCGGCAATGTATTCCCAAAATCGGTGTCGAAGCTTTACTCGCTATGGCAAGAAGGTAAGATCGAGGAAGCGAGAGAGCTCCAAGGGAAAGTCGCGCTGGCCGAAGGCGCTTGCAAGAAAGGTCTCTCGGCAACCAAATTTGGCACAGCGTACTTCGCTGGTCCAGTAGCTGGTCTTTCGAGTCATGCGTCTTTCAGTACAAGAAAGCCTTATCAGCCAGCCGGAAAAGCACTGCAAGAGTCGACAATCGTCACGATGCAACCTTTGGCTGAGCTCGAGCAATCTCTTCCCGATGTGATCTCTCGGCCTCCACCAGCTTCTAAGCTCAGCAATGGAACGAATGGGCATTCTGTCGGGCAGGAATCTGTTCGAAGCCATTTTACACTCAACACAGGTGCTCAAATCCCTGCTGTCGGGTTTGGTACCTGGAAAGCTGCACCTGGTGATGCAGCAAAAGCTGTAAAAGAGGCGTTTGCAGCAGGATATCGCCATTTCGACTGCGCGCCGCTGTACTTCAACGAAGCGGAAATCGGTGAAGTATTCAAGAGCGCGCCGATCCCTCGATCAGAATTCTTCGTCACAACGAAGCTCTGGTCCTCGGACCATCAACGCGTACAGCAAGCCTTAGACAAGTCTCTCCAAGATCTTGGATTGAACTATGTCGATCTCTACCTCATGCACTGGCCTGTCACGCTGAGTCCAGACACAGGAGCAGAGTACGGCAAAGAAGATCGAAATGTCCATGTCGAAGGCTGGGATTTCCGAGATACGTGGAGGGAGATGGAGAAGCTGCTAGACACTGGCAAAGTCCGTGCGATTGGTGTCGCGAACTTCTCGACCGTGAATCTCGAAAAGCTCCTCCAAACAGCGAGGACCGTGCCAGCTGTTAACCAGACTGAGATTCAACCTCTTCTACCTCAAGACAAGTTACACACGTTCTGTTCGTCGAAGGGTATTCACCAAACAGCTTTCGGGCCCTTAGGTGGCACAGGGAGCACCTTGCACGAGGAGCCCGTCATTGTCCAGATTGCTGAGAAGAGAGGCGTCGCGACGGGCAATGTAATGCTTTCCTGGGGTATTGCAAAGGGCTGGTCCGTGATACCCAAGTCCATCAGTCCGAAGCGAATCGCTGCGAACCTAGAGGACAACTTTGTGCCAAGCCCAGCCGAGATGCAGGCTATCGATGAGCTGGCAAGAAAACAAGGCAAGCGCTTTAACCGACCAGATTGGGGAGCAATCATCTTTCATGATGATGCCGATGCAAATGTAGCGTAGTGGGAACTGCTTCAAGTCGTATAGTGGAACTGCGTATCAGGAAACGTCATATCTCCAAAGCCAGCGTACAAGAAGTCTTCCGGCAACCCGTTTGCAGCTTGAAGATCGAACACTGTGCTGTGAATGTTGTCTCCGTTGGCATTTGCCGCGGCCAGGTCTGCCCTGCTTGCCAAGAGGTCTTGGTTGTGTGCGAAGGGACTTTCAGTCAATATTGACGTTATCCCCAGAGCAGCTGCGCATTCGTTCAACTTCCTTGTCAATCCGGCGGTCATACGCGAGATTGGATGTGAAGGTAATGCTGGTGTGCGAGCGAACACTGCGAGTGCAGCACTGATGCGCCGAAATTCCCCTTCCACATCGATGCCGAGTTGCTGTCCATACTTCAGGCAAATCCCCATCAGGAACTGTCCGGCGAAGGAGATCATGACATGGAAGTATATTGGCATGCCGTTTAGATGGTTGCGAAAGGATTCGTCTTCGGCAATCATCGTAAAGATTGTAATTGCAGCATCGCGTGCTGTAGTCGCGGCGGTGAGAAAGTGTGTCGGGATTGGGTCGTTCTCGATCCCGCGAAAGACATGATGACCGAGGTAGAGTTTGGCAAATTGCCAGTGAACGGTGAGGCCAGACAGAGGGAAAGATCCAATATGCTTATCAGGTTCTAGGTAAAGCGGGTTAGCAAAGTGCACTAAGCAAGCTGTGATCTGTGAACGCACCGAAGATGGAAGACCATCTAGCATACCAAGCATCCAGTTCTCGCGCGAAGTGTGCTAATTGCACAGTCAAGGTCCTTGACACTGGTTTGATGGATTCGCTGCCAAAGACATCTCTGACCTGGCCCATAATTACCAGCAAGCAGACTTGGGACATGACTCGAACGTCTTGGGCTGTCACAGGCTCTCCGCCTGCGATAAAGAGTTCTCTATTCTCAACGGCTTCCTTTTCTTGCCTCAGAATCCGGTCTCGATTATGCAGTATACTCAAGTGCTGATCGCAGATGTACAGCAAGTACCAAAGGCGGACTCTGTCTCGAATCTCAGTAATGTCCACCACTGAGCCGGGCGAGGTGGCTGCCAGCAGCGCTGGCTCTGTGAGTCTTAGAAAGTTCCGGTGCAGCTTGAGATCTTTCGCCCTGCGGATGGCATCGTTGAGCAGGATTCGCGATGCATCTGGCAGCCAAAAAGCTCCAATACACAACGCTTCCACGAACTTCAAATCTCGTTTTTCGAAAAGCGAGCTTGAGATGATCGATCTGTACTCGCGATTGCAGATCTCAAATAGATGCTTGTTGGTAGGATCATGAAACGCAGCAACGGTGCACATCGCGGCCAAGAGGGCTGGTGATGCTCGACGAACGTGCGTCGCATCCTTGTATCCGCCTGTGATTCCGTACACGAAAGGGTCCAAATGCTCCAGGTATTTGTGCACCAACGTCTCTGCGTCTTCCAGAGAGATCAGGCCTTTGCTAATCATGTCGACTCGTTCGCTTCCTCTGCGACGAAGCCTGCGAGGGCTATTTACACCCAATGAAGGCTCTTGTGTGCTTGTCAAGTACATGTCCATCGGGGCGTGGGCTGTAGAAGGCGATGCCGGTGGCGACAGCTCACATGTGTCTTCTGGATCATCATCTTCTTCCCCAGTCCTGGGGGCGGCTCGAGCACCTGCATCGTTCTGCTGCCCTGTCGCCAAAGGTCTCGGCAGTTCGAGATTCAGATGTTGGCATATCTTCTCCAGAGTGGCATGGATGTTGGCCAGGTCTTTGCCCATCAAACCGACCTGCTTGGCGTCCGCCATAGGGTGACGCACTGCGGTATGGAGAACACAGGTGATACCGCGTCTTTGGCAGCGTGAACACGGCGGCTCTTCATTGATCATGTCGCACTTGATTTTCTGTCTTCTGCATGCGGTGCATGCCGCCGCCAGGCGCTTGCTCGGCTCTGGCCGCTCATCGTCCAGGTTTGCAATCTCGCTGTGCTTGCGCTTTGCGTTTGACGACATGTTGGGAACGCCTTGCCTCCATCCGATGGAACAGCACGGAGTCTGGTGTTGGTGAGGCGAGGTCGATTGAGATGTCGCGATGTATTCTCTCGGCCTTGGAAGCATAGATTTTGAATACTGAATTGATTATTCAAATTCAATTCAAATTCAGAGTTGAATTGAATATGAATCCGGCTTTTTGAATGT